TATAACAACACGAACAAATGTTTCCCCTGTCTCGACAACCCAACTAATTTGCGTCTCGCCATACCCCACCCCCCGGCATATCCTCTTCCCCACACCCAACCCCATGATGTGCGTTAAGCTTCGGAGACATGATGTGCAAAAGAAAACGAATACGTAAGCAAGACTTAATGTTATACTGAAATCAGTATTTCAACTTATGGTAAAGAGCTAGGTAAATATAAGGAAACTGAGACTAAAATTTGAATGCAGATTCAAAACACTTAATTCTATGAACATATGAAGATACCGACCCTTTTTATAAAGTTCGTTTGATATCAGTATGTAAGCTTAGCAGAAGGCGTTATTTCATGAATTAATTACTTTTAATGCCCCTTACTACTTAAAAAAAATAATCTTTATAAATGATATTGTCAAAGACATCGATTGTACTATAAAGCTATTTGCTGACGATACGTCTCTATATGTCAAAGTAGAGTCACCGGGTCCGACCGCAAACCTGTTAAATAATAATCTAATGAAAATTCACGATTTGTCTAAAAATATTTCTTTAACTGAAGTCACTTGCAATAAACATCTCAGTATCTCTATCTCAGCCAATGGAAGTTGGGGTGACCATATTCAAAACAAAATTTATTAGTAAAGCCTTTTAAAAAACTTAGCATAATTAGGAATCTAAAATTTATCATTGATAGAAAGTCTCTTCAAACGATATATTATACTTGTATAAGACCCTTATTAGAATATGGTGATATTGTATGGGACAACATACAAAATATAACTTTAGGCCAAAGCCAGTTGATTGAAAACATACAACTCGAAGCAGCCAGAATCGTGGCTGGGGCAACCAAACTCACAAGTCACGACAGACTATATGCAGAATCTGGTTGGGACCCCCTTATTGCCCGAAGTAGAAAACACAAACTCAAATGTAGTACACTGTAATCTAATTTCATAAGATTGTTCATGGTCAGTGCCCTTCTTATCTTGCTAACGTTCTACCTGCTCGCCATTCAAATGTACATACTTACAATACAAGAAGAGCTAACAATTTCTGTCGAGTCAACTGTCGAACTAATCTATATAAAGACTCTTTCCTCCCCTCTTCTGTTGATTTATGGAATGCACTACCAGATAACGTAAAATACAATCCCTCAATTACTAACCTCAAAAAAAATCTAAATGTCGACACTCTCTCTGTTCCTCAGCACTATTACTACTGCAGAAGCAGACAAGGTGAGATGCATCATGCACGACTTAGGATGAACTGCAGCTCCTTAAACACTCACCTGTTTGCACGGAACTTAGTTGATAGTCCCATGTGCTCATATAATTTGTCTACTGAAACTACAGAACATTTCCTCCTCCAATGTCCTAACTACCAGCAGCTGAGAATCCAATGTTTTAGTCGCCTACCTCCTAACTATAATGTAAGCTTTTTACTTTATGGTAGACCCGAACTACCAATTCACTTAAATGAAACTATTTTTGACTCATTCATATCAGTAATCATGTTTGTTGTGGTGATACTTGCAATTACTTGCATATCGCATTGGTCTGCGTAGAGTGTTAGAGATCATTAGTGCTAGTTAAGAATTGCATTTGTAGTTTTAAAATGTTTTCATAACATACTACATAAACTTTCCACAACATGTACAGACACAGTGCTCTTTCGTCAAATATCGTTTGTATTCATGCAATCAGCGTTTGTTCTCTCAATGCAGTTTTAATGCCCATCGCATCCCCATCAAACATCATCCCCATCCCACTATAAATCCTTGCACCCTTTCTCTTTCTTTTCCCTGCACATGTTATACTTTATACATATATATATATTTATTTATATATATGAATTATTATATTGTCAGTACTGATCCATAGCTGCTGTTATGTCTATAAGGAGACGGATTTACATAAGTACTATGTACTTGTTTCTGGATCCTTTTCTGTACTATTCTAATTTAACATCAATAAAATAAAGTTTAAACTAAATACCTTTAAAACCATTTTTACACAAATACATCTCTATATTTTCAAAAACTTCCGCGGGGGAGTTCTACTAATGAGTATTTTGAACCAACCTTTAAATTAAAGGTAAAAGGTATACATCAATTTAAATCGCTAAGAAAGTTCCATTTCCGAGCTTTTATTCGTATGTGTTTGCGTTTTTTCCCAACTTGAAGTATTCTCCCTTTAAGGACGTGAAACAAAAAGGTATATTTCTTCTGCTTAGAGTTACTTCCTCTTGGCAAGCCGTATCGTTCATGTCTCTTTTTGATGCCGCGACTAGTAAACGGAAGTGTATTAGAATGACAGGATCAAGATAACGAGTTAGACCCTTATGCATGTAGTTTATCTTATTTCTAGATCATGCGTAGCTTATTTTCTCTGAAACCGATACCCATATGGTATAACAAAAACATAACTATTGGTAATAGTGACATTTTCTATAGAAATTGGTTCAATAAGGGGATTGTGATTAGCAATGATTTAGTTAAAGATATTAGAACTTGTTCCTTTTTCTCTTTCAATGAATTTTGTACTATTCATGGTTCAATAACAAATTATCTTCAATATCAAGGAGTGATAAAGAGCAAAAAGAAATACATTAAGAATCACAATGTACCCAACAAGATGTTGAGTTACCCAATCATACCATTAAATCTTGAAGTTATATTAAAAAAAAAGAAAGAAGGATTACAGGAGTTCTATAAAGTTCTTATTCTAAATAATATCACAGTAACAGGACAAAATAAATGGGGAACTGTTTTTGATTATAATAAGGAAACATGGAAAAAAATATATGCTGTTCCATTCAGGGTAACAAATAACACAAAGTTACAATGGTTACAATTTAGAATAAATCATTACATTTTAACAACAAATTCATATTTATTTAAGATTGGACTAATAAATAACCCTCTGTGTGTTTTATGTTTTATGGAAAGGGAGACAATTATTCATATCCTATGGGAGTGCACTGAAGTACAAAGCTTTTTGACAAATTTAGAAAATCTCTTAAATGCACTTGCCATTCCCTTTTCAATAAACAAATAAAATATTATTTTTGGATGTAACGAGCAAGCAGGAATTTATAATAGAATTGACAATGAAATTATTCTTTTTATTAAGCATTATATATACAAAACTAGATGCTTGCATAGCTCACTTAATGTTATGGCACTGGTAAATTTGATTAAAGAATAATACAATGTTCAGAAATATATTGCTTATGGTAAAGGGGGAAAATATCTGAATAAGTTTACTAATGAATGGCGAAAATGGATAAAAGTAGTTGAACTTGCCTAAACATTGCTACTCGGAAAGTCTGACATCTCTATCTTTCTGTCCGTCTGTCTGTCTGTCTGGGTGTCTGTCTCTCTATCTCTCTGCCTGTCTATGTCTGTGTAGATTTTGTGTTTGTCAGTATCTGTTGTTTTCTTTAATAGCAATAAAGGAATGTAAAAATTGATGATGATGATAATGATGGTGGCTAAGAAGAAAACAATGTGTTTTGTTTGTTTTGTATGTGTTTGAATATGCCTTATTTATGTAAAATCTTCGAAAAATAAACAATTATAAAAAAAAAACCACCGATACTTGTTGATAGTTCTGCATAAACGGTCTCAAAACAAGCATCTTCAAAATTAAAAGGGTAGTCCGAGTTTCCTCTGGCCCTAACACCAGATCTTTTGAAAGATAGATGTCTGGTGTTGGGCCACAGCATTAAATTGGAATCATAGAATCATAAAAAGGCACTTTTGGATCAACTGTTTGGGATCTGGCCCCACACCAAACTTTCTGTTAAATTGTCGAAGTCTGGTGTCAGGGCCAGAGAAACACAGGCTACTTGTAATGCATTCATTATAAAAGAAGGAAACCTAATATACAGTTCACAAGTCTGTTTTTCTCTGAAACCGATCCTTGTTGATAGTCCTGCATAAACGGTCTCAAAACAAACATCTTCAAAATTAGTCCGATTTTCCTCTGGCCTTAACACCAGACTTGGACATTTTGACATATTTGCAGTCTAGATGTCTGGTGTGGGCTCAGGTGGGACATTTTGAACGATTGAAAATCGAGGATTCTACTGACGGAATTTAGCAGCTGTTAGTGATAATAAGAGCTGATTCTGAGGTTTGTCATGCGTTGTGTCATACAAGATTTTTGTTGTAAGCACCTCATAACTCTCCGATACCAAACGGTGTCGGAGAATTCCACGTTTTTATATAGCAGTGCGCTCTGGCCCCACACCAGCCATCTATATGTCAAAATCTGGTGTTAGGGCCAGAGGAAACTCGGGATATCAAAAAGGGTGCTGCTTTCCACGTATGTATATCGTCTCTAAACGTGTAACTTCTTCAAATACCATCATAGTCTATAACATCTGTTTCCTTTGAATGCGATATTGTTTGCTTAATAATAACATTTGTTTTCCACCACTGATCAGCCGGTGTGTTCTCCTTTCTCCCACTTGTTAAAAAGACCATAGAGGCAGTAATGTGGTGATAGCAGTTATAGTTTGTTTCATATATATTTTACCTGGTTTTTTACCTGTGTTCTCTCACATTACCTGTATAATATATATATACAGTACTGTCATATACATGTAGCTTTGATATAGTCTATTTTCATCATTTTTAGACATTTTTTTCATATCATATACCAATTTCATCAGATAGATCATACAAAACAGTAACGTGAAATCCACAAATATTTTATATATTTTATATTCTTAATAGTATATATATAGATGATAATGCTTTGATTAATTTTCTTTTTTTAAAATTTAAATTTAAATTTATTTAATTTAGGGTGAAGCAAATTCGTATTGGAGCATCATTTTCAGAGAATCTTTTTTACCAATAAATGCGTCTTCAATGTAATTATTAATAACTTAGTATCACTCATTAGATTATTCCCCCTAAAACATAATCATTAGTTATGTTTCTATTTGATAACCCCATATGGCTTGGGTCCACTGATATTTCTAGTTGATAATAATGAATCCTGACGCCGACACTCTCTTCTGTGATGGAACGTTTTACATGTGCCCGACTCAGTTTCAGCAGATCTACACTGTCCACGCCAGGATTGGAGACCAGATGAACCCACTTGTATACAGTCTACTTCTCAGCAAGAGCCAGGCAACATACCATTGCAAAGATTCTTTACACTACTCAAGACCAAGATTCAACCTCCAACTCAATCCCACCACCGTTTTCCTGGACTTTGAGGCTGCTGTCCAGAAAGCCATCCGCGTAGGGTTTCCAGCTGTGAGTTTGAAGGGCTGCTACTTCCAATATGCACAGTGTATTTGGAGGAAAGTCCAGCAGACCGGACTTCAACAACTCTACGCCAACAACGACGATGTCCGACAAAGTGTACGGCGTGCCGCTGTACGTACTACCCCTTGTTCCATTAGACCATGTAGAAGATGTCTGGTTCAATAAGCTGGAGGACATAGACGATGCTGATGTTCCACAGGACACCACTCCATTTACAGATTACAACGTGACACAGTGGATTGACCGAGATCAACAGCTCTGGAACCACTTTGAGACCGAGGGACCCAGAACAACCAACCGCATAGAGGGATGGCACAGAAAACTGAAGAAGAAAGTGGAACACGCTCACCCCAACATCTACAGCATCATCCGCGTCTTCCATGAAATACAAGCCAGCAACGAGATAACGCGCATCCAACACGCAGCAGGAGGGCAACTCAGACCAAGAGCATAACGCTACCGTAACTGTGCATGTGTGTATTTTATGAATAAGGAACGCTTGCAAATTGGAGAATGGTCAGTACAACAGATGTACTCCAGTACGCCGACACAGCATTCCATCTTTTGCATTTAGAGTGACATTATGATAAATATGCTTGTTATGGAAATTTTATTTGGTGCTTTGCTAGGATTTCTTAAAATTATGGACTTATCTGTGACTTTCCAATATTTTATCTTTAGTAAGTTAGTGCTATTATATTAGTTTTATATAATGTATCTTTGTGCATGTGTGTATTTTATGAATATGATTGATTTGATCAACCAGCGCTGAGTATTCCATGTGTACATGTAATTAATTAGTTTTATTTATTTTCATTCCCAGCATCTGTTTTTGCATATTTAATAATGCAATACATGATCTCTGTCTTTACTGATTATATTTGTCATAAATTGCTTGCTAAATTTAGTTCTATTTTATGAAATATATATATGACAAATTACATACATGTAAATGTATAGTAAAAATGTATAAAATTGATTTAATATGAAATTGATAAAAGCAGGTTTTCAGTTAATGTATTTTGATGTGTTTTTTTTAAGTAATATTTGGAATATTGTATATATTTATTCATAATTCCAGTAAATATTACGAAAAATCAGGAAATATATTTGTTTAATATTCCTATAACTAACACAGTATTTCCTATTGGTGAACAGGTAAGTACAGGTAAATAATCTACCTGTACTATACCAGAACAGACTATAATAACACCTCTGTTGTTTTCCAGTGTTTATGTAATTCCTTTGATCAGAAAAAGTGGGAGAAATGAGAACAAACCGATCAGCCTTCATAAAGCTTTAAGTTTTGTTTTGTTTTGTTTATTTTTCTTCTTCTTTAAATACTCCTATTCCAATTTACCAGTAAAAATATCTTAAGCCGATGTACTATATGCATTTTATCTTCAAACCTTTCTACTATTTTGTCCATGTGTACAATCCCCTAAATATACTTAAAATAATCTTTAAACGAACTATCTACTTTTTATCGGGTGGAGCAGGGTGTGTAGCTGGGTGGAGATAAATAAAAAAGTATTAGGAAACAGTCAGTTATTTTTTACCCATTGGACTACCTTGCAAAATTAGCTGTATACCGCAATTATAAGGATCGTAAAAACGACTTAATTAATATTAGAGAGTATATACATGAGAAAAAACATATATGTTATTTCCTGATCAGGATGTCCCCCGCTCAGGACCGTATACGTTATAATATATATAATATATGTAAGCACTGTCATCTGTATGTATCTGATCTATGAATACGGTTATAATAGGCGTTTGATTTCCTTGTCAGAATGTCAGGAACGTATACGTTCTAATACCGTAAATAAGGTGATTCAAGATAGGTTTGACGTCTATTTCAAAATAAATAGGACACCTCTCTTGACAGTAAACATTTTTTTTTCATGAATAAAAACAGATATATTCATATTAGGTTTCCTGATCAGGATGTCCCTGCTCAGGACCGTATACACTATTATATGCAATTAAAATATGAATTACTTTAGAGATCGTTTAATTTATATTTTTAAATCATCTTTACTCCTCTCTTAACTGTAAGCAGTGTCACCTAAATGTATTTGGTCCATTAATACGACTAAAATGAGTAATTGATTTCCTGATCAGGATGACCCCGCTCGGGACCGTAAACTGTCTAAAATCTATATACATAAAGTGATTCAAGATATATTTGACGTCTTTTCCATTTCAAAATTATAAGGACACCTCACTTGACCGTACACGTTCTTAACTTGATTTATTGTATAAATAACAACGGATATAATCCCCGTTTGATTTCCTGATCAGGATGTCCCTGCTCAGGACCGTATACACTTTTATATGCAATTAAAATATGAATTACTTTAGACATAGTTTGCAGTGGCGGACCCAGGGGGGTTGCCCTAGTTGCCCGGGCAACACCCTTTTTCTGTGTCCAAAAATAATCTGGACGTAGGTTTTTGAAGATTTTCCTCTGTTTCATATGGGATTTCCTTCTAATATCAACCATCCCTTGAACTATAATTTTCTCTGCCTTTTCCCTAGTCAGCAGTTTGAATATCTATATATGCCTAAGGGTGTTGCTCAAACAAGGAGTCCAGTACTTATATTCTAAACAATAGGGGATTACTCCTCTATCGTCTATATATTAGTAGGGGGTCCAGTCAGGACAGTGGTCAAGGCTCACCGGACTGACTCTACCCAGAGACGTATAATATTGTATTATACGTCTCTGCTCTACCTAATCTTATTGTTCTAATGTCACGGTGTGATCGCCCTGTCAGTTGAGAGAGGACTATACCATCTGTTGGAATTAGATATATAGGTAAAGTGTTATTTCTAAGGTAGAGTCCATTTCATGATAGATAAACCTGTTTTTCACCTGTGGTTTCATGTACACATGTTCACCTGGAGTGATTTATTATATCAATTAAAAAATATAAATTTCAAAAATTTCGAAGACAATAAAGCAGCCTCCTTAGCATCACTTTATCAGGTGAATAATAACCAATGTTGGCATCAAAGCCTGGCGTGTACATCCTTTTTATTAGGAGTTGCCCTTGTACATACGTATGCATACTATTTCACAATAAAAGACAAACAATTAAATCATAATTCATATTTATGACAAAATAAATCAGATTGTTTTAACCAAAAACCTACATTTTTACCATTTTTTAGAGAATTTGTTAACACTCGCTCCGCTGGGCCATCATAAAATATAAATACTCAACGTTATAAAATATAACCTGGAATAATACCGCTAACTCAGAAAACTATTCTACGCCTCATTCGATCTGTTTGACAACGGAAATAATGTCCCATAAATTCTTGCTTTCTCTACGCTCGGCAGTGCTTGAAATAGTTTTGTATTACATCTTCAGAAAAAGTATTCCCCTCGCTCCGCTCGGCAATGAAATATAATTATCGCAATCTCAGAAATAATGAGGTTCTATGTTATATATTTTTTGGTACCAGAAAGTAGTATCATGTACAAACTTACACAAAAATGCTTATTTATTAGTTCTAGATAAGTGCAAAAATCAGGATGTTCCCGTTCAGGACCGTACACACTAACAGCTAGAGTTATAGACTATACGGCCTATACAAACACGACCATTCTTATAAGTCGGGGTTATGGACTATACGGCATATACAAATACAACCATTCTTATAAGTCGGAGTTATAGACTATACGGCATATACAAATACAACCATTCTTATAAGTCGGAGTTATAGACTATACGGCATATACAAATACGACCATTCTTATAAGTCTGGGTTATAGACTATACGGCCTATACAAACACGACCATTCTTATAAGTCGGGGTTATGGACTATACGGCATATACAAATACAACCATTCTTATAAGTCGGGGTTATAGACTATACAGCATATACAAATACAACCATTCTTATAAGTCGGGGTTCTATTTAATCAATAAATACCACAACTCTAATGACCAAAATGCATTGTTATCTACATTGACATTATAAATGGATATATATAAATAGAAAACTGTATGTTATTCCATGATCATGTTGTCCCCTCCAGGACCATGTATGCTGTAAGAATTATATGTAAAGTATTTCATCGTTGATGTAATGTGTTTTCAATTTGAAAATGACTAGGACAACTTTGCAAACTTTCATAAATATCTACGGATAAATTCACCATCAGATTTCCTTATCAGGATGTCCCTGCTCAGAACCGTACACACGGACAGCTAATAGTTTCAATTCCTTTATTACACTCTTGACACACTTGTGTGTGTAACAAGAGGTCAACAATTCAAAACAACATACAGGGCAGACAGGGTAATACAGTAACTAAGTTCATTGTAACATATCAATAGTTATAGTAAATACTCATTAAAGTAACTCATTCAAGAATAATAATGATTAATTGCAAATTATAAGCATATAAAGGTAATAAAATTACAAATTTATGCAATTTTAGAAAAAACTGCAATTTTATGACAATAATCAGCGTGAAATACAAAGGTTTTCTACATTTTTAAGAAGGTAGTTCACTCTGGATAATAAAAGTCGATTACAAATTTCAAACATATCTCTCATTTTAGCTTAACTTGGATTTATATAAAAGTAATGTGCGATGTGTTTATGTCTATAATTAGTTATCGTAGCATTATTACATTGACAAAGATAGTGGTATTCATCCCCAATACCATTATTACATAGCAAACAAGTACGATTACTACGTGGTATACCAACCCATCTACCAGTTTCAATGGGTAATTTTAAGTTCGACATTCTAAATTTGCTGATAATTATACGTTCGCTGGAATTAAGCTTAATTAGATATGATTCAAAATTAAACTGGTTTTTAAAGATATGGTAGAACTGTACACGAGATGAAGAGTCAAAAGTAGAGAACCAATTTTGAATAAATTGATCACATAGACGTTTTTTAAGCAAATTTTTGAAGAGTGATCTATTCATTGTACATGTGTTTTAGTATATCCAAATATTAGTAAACCCTGTGTTATTAAGTAATGATTTTATATATCCAAACCATTGAAATTTTGCAGAATTATTTTCTTGCATTTTTAGTATTAGGCGATAGAATACACTAGATAGCTTATCTCCTCCTGTTATTAATTTATGCCAAAACATCAGCATTCTAACTTTAATTTCTATTTCTAATGGAAATTTGCCCAGTTCGCCATACACCATAAAATTTGGAGTACTACTTCGAACAAAAGAAACATGTAAAATTTTCTTACAAAATTGCAGATGAATTTTTTCAATGATGCTTACATTTTCAAATCGCCAGATTTCACATACATAGAGTAAAATTGGAGCGACTAGCAAATCAAACAATTTAAATTGTAAGTCAGTAGATAAACTGAGGAATATTTCTTATTTTGGTATACACTGCAAACAATGCTTTCTTTGCCTGGTTAGCTAACTTTTTTTTTTTTAACGAATGATCCCTTATAATTAAACAATATTCCGAGATAAGGGTAAGAATCATCACGAGTTATTGGATCATCAAATATAGTGAAATTAAATCGCCATCTGATTTTCCGTTTTTCAAAAAATTACTATTTTTGTCTTTTTGGTATTGATAGTTAATTTCCAGTTTTCAAAATAATTTTGAAAAAAAATAAGTGCATTCTGTAAACCTTCAGGTGATTCTGACATCAACACAGTATCATCTGCATTTAAAATAGGCCTCACAAATGATTTCACATACATACCAAGGTTATTTTCACATAAACTGTCAATTTCTTGCAAACATTATACATTTAAATCATTAGGAGACCTCTCTTGACCGTGAACTAATATCACGGAATTAGATTAGATCTAAGTCCGTGCTAATATCCACTAATATCTCACCAGCCCCGGTTCTACTCAGCCTCAATCGGGAACCTTCGGCACTTTTCGTAAAAAAAAATCTCCTTTACGGAAAGTGCCGACGGTTCCCGATTGCCCCGGTCCCAGTGAGAGACAGCGCAGCTGTCTGACGCATTTCCGCTACATTAGTATAATCATAAAATGGTGTGTGACTCATTTACATCTTTGCCCTTAACAAACTATCCAAATTGGCTTCAGCCTAGATTCATGTTTTATCATAACTTTTTTTTAATCGTGTATTTACAAGGGTGCCAAAACGTGCACTATATTGTGCATCACTATGTGGCACTCTTTAATGACGTCAAAAAACATACCTTAATTATATAAATATTACTGCGCCAATAATAACTATGCATTTTATAAGTTAGTGAATTTAGTGTTTTTGTTGAACTTGCTGTGTTAGGGTGAACTATTTAAAAATAGAAATACCGATCGTGTAAATATACACTAAGAAAGCACAATTCTTGCAATTAACACGATTTTATCAGAACTTCTTTTTGAAATCTATGCAGTTCTACCAGAATTGATACACGCCTCTTATACTACATTCTGTCAAAGCAACCACTGCAGTTTGCGACCTAATCATTCAGGACTTCTACAGGGCGCATGGTGGAAGCTCGGCGAGGGTGAAGGAACATTTGTAAAAGACTTTTCTGTCAACTATTCAAAGGTAGATCTGGCAAACGATTTATAGCTCCACTGCAGACCGCATTTTCGAAGAGCTATAGATATGGATGACTACCAGTACAGGAAAAGATCACGCGGTAACAATAATTTAGCTGAAAGGGCCTTTGTTTTGGGTACTACAAACAAACAACGGGGAAAAAATGTCGCAACACCTAGCCTCGATGGCTTCTGAAATAGGCGATTAGAGGAAGTCGAGCTCCATATTCCTCCGGGATAACGATAGCACCGCCACAGTACAAGACCGAGCTCAAATAGTAATAACAAATAAGGTATTTGTGTGCTTGGTATACACAAGTTGATCCAGAGCTAACGTTACCGATACAGCCATGCTCCGTCACTGAAAATGGACGATTGACTATATCCTCGCATCACCAGTTTCGACGGAATGAGATGAGGCGCATGTTGTCCTCTGCTAGCTGTCTCTTTAACATTTGCTATCTCATTTTGCTTCCACTACCCTTAAAAATGATCATGCACCGGTTACAGCGTTTCAGTAATGTTCTTTAGCCAATCCAATGCCGATTTTAATTATAACAACATTTATTATTCAGCGAGAGTAGTTTCTAAATATTTTATAATGTATTTTCAATCCCTAGCAGAGGCATAGAAAAAAACGTAATCTTAGGTTCTGATTCCTTGGTGCCCATCATGGGGCCCAAGGAAATATATTGACAAAAATACTTGGCAATATTTTCACAAGAACCACTATGACCCATGGAAAACTTGTGACAAGTGCTTTCCTGGAGGGTCACCATGGTATAGTACTAGCCGCTTCCTACCGACTCTGCTAGGGAAAACTTGTCTTTCAGTTCTTAAGACTAGCAAACCAAAGCTTCTTCGATTCTAACTGGTATCAACGGAGGAGGCAATATGATGAACCCCAGATAGTGATGGGCATTCAGTGTAGAATCAATCGATAATACTCGATAATTAGATTGTAATTGGAAGTAGAGATAAGGATGACAAATGTAATTGGTCGATATCATGTCACAGAATACTCATTTAAGTTTACTTCAGTAAAACAGACTTGTGAACTATATATTAGGTTTCCTTTTTTTATAATGAATGCATTACAAGTAGCCTGTGTTTCTCTGGCCCTGACACCAGACTTCGACAATTTAACAGAAAGTTTGGTGTGGGGCCAGATCCCAAACAGTTGATCCAAAAGTGCCTTTTTATGATTCTATGATTCCAATTTAATGCTGTGGCCCAACACCAGGCATCTATCTGTCAAAAAATCTGGTGTTAGGGCCAGAGGAAACTGGGGCTAGATTACAAGCAACTTTAGCCACGTTTTGATCCCACTTTGCCATCAATCTTAAGGAAAGGTCTTCATTTTATATGTTTGATACCAGAGTTCAGTAATGAACCTTTTATGGAATTCATATTCAATATTAAATTGGAATCGAAGGGCAAATCAATCATTACCGAGTTGTTGAAAAAAATATTACTGCTGTTACATTTGTTTAAAATTTGTGGTGAAAATAGTCTTTTTTTTCATATTTAATAGTGAGAAGGAATTCATTAGCATTTTTTGTTTCTTACAAAAAAGATCATCTCTTCAGTAGGAAATTCACTAGCACTCTAGATATTATGGACAAGTGAAAACTTTGAAAGTTCACAATGTAACGAACAAAGTATAGGTCGGCTTTGTTATATGAAATTGTACACTTGTGAAGATTGTCTTGTTTGATGTATATATATATAAAAAAGACATACAATGTCACTAATTACCATGACAAATGACTAGAAGGTAAATTAAGTTAAAAAAAAGTTGAAATGCACGTTATAGAATACTCCTAAAATTCCTGTAGAGGAATAATTTTGCATTTCCATATGGTACTGAAAGACACTGCTGACTAGTTATATCATTATTTTATGAGTTTCTTTTTGTTTAAGAAGTGAAGAGTATAACAGGATCATTATTCTTTTAAGGATTGCACTAATGGATAGTTCTAATTTTTGTAACAAAAGGCAAATGCATCTTCACCTTTACTAAGGTTCAATTTCTACAAAATGTATTTAGTTGATATAGCAATGCTCTAGATACATTAAACTTAATAAATATCAGATATTTATGATGTGTGTACTCTGTTTGTAATACAGAACTCTAACTACAGGTTCTGATTTCATGGTTGGTTGAGCTTGTTAAACTTCAAATTCTGGGATAGTCCGGTGATTCGGTACAACTTAAGAAATCTTACTTTCAATTTATATCTTGTGCACATACACAGCTTTATTGTCAGTTGTGTTTCCTTCTTGCTTATTCCATAGTTCAGATCTTCATAAATTAAAAAAAAATTGGATTCAACTGTTCGGCCACCTTCTATTAACATGCATTGAACACGCAATTGTACATCCTAAATTGCTATAGTTGATCCGTCGAAACTGGAGTACCGTTGAAATAGGACACGTTTCTAAAGACCTCAAGTGCAAGTCATTGAAGGTTGATGCAGTTATTTGGATTAAACTGTTACTTGCATAGAGCCAAGAATCAAGTTCCGATCCCACTGTATACATGTTAGGAAGCATATATTCTGATTTCAAAGTATACAAACATCTGTTTTTATACAGATTTCTGAACTTGTGCTGGAAATGGTTATATATGTGGTTCTGATAATACAGCTGGTTTTGCCGAGCAAAGTACCTCTGAATTTTACTATGGTGGTGCATAACAAGTATCCAATAGAGAAATGGTAACGGTAAAATAAATGCAGCTGATGAGAGTTAGCGTTGCTGCAAAATTGAGAGAAAAAATCCAGGATGCATTCTGATGAGAGTGTTGTTACAATTTTTGATGCAGATGCATATGCAACATGCATGGACAATGACAATGCCTCTGTAGTACCCAGACACTGTCCCTTTCAGCGACCTCTAGGAACAAAAATGTTCCGAAGCATGATGATTGATTCACATGTGTGAAATGCTTGACCCAATTTGACCCAGAACAACTTGCTCTTTGTGAATGTAGTCTGAAGATAGCAGCAGCGGTAGTTCCAACATTTATAAATTGCAATCGAGGATGTTGGTTTGGGGTAAAAAGAAAAAAATGAAGCACAACATGAACTGGAATTCCAAGAATGCTCAATTTGTAGAAGGTCAAACTACCTTGTAAGACGAGAAAAAATTAAATTACTACAACTTCATGAACATTTGATACTTTAATTATTCCCGATTGTATTTTCTACTACTATTGATATAAGGGGGGGGGGGGGTATCCTGATTCACCTGCCAGGGGCAATATTTGAAAGAGTGGTGGAAATTAACTTTATAAGTTGGAACAAAAATGGAAACAAACCTTCTTTTTAAATTAAATACCATAGTCTAGTAACTCCAGCAGGTGATCGACAAACAAATTCCATCTCTGTTCCTTTATCCTGTTGTATGCACAAGGTAAAACAGGGTCAGAAAGTTTTAAGCATTGTGCTCATTCGTAATATGTATCTTTATTTCAGATGATGATGAAAAAACTCTTTTTGTCAAGAACTTGGCAGAGTCTGTGACTGAAGACTCCTTGAAGTCTTTCTTCTCTGACACTGTAGAAGTCAGACTTCCTTCCCGTCCAGATGGCGCTCACAAAGGGTAAAGGGATATTCATCTTTGTATATCAATGATCAGTTGTTCAGCTAGTAATGAACTATTATTATCGGGTTTAGTACTACATTTGTATAATCTGTATCCATTGTTTTCACTTTGTGAGACTTTGATTCTGTTAAACAAAAAAAGAAATGTAAGGGCATTCAAAAGTTTATTTTCAAAGAAAAGTGTTGATGTTAAATAGGTAGTAATGTATTGCTTTGGCGGTCTGAATTTGTGATAGTTCTTTTAAAGATGAACAATTTTTTGCATTATTGGCATTTGTGTGTTGTGAACTGGTTATGAGTGCATAATGATATATGTATACATATATATTGCATTTCAAATTTCAGATTTGCTTATGTTGTATTTGATGATGAAGCCGCCGTAGAACAGATGATGAATGACCATCAAGGTGAAGACTTGGAGGGATCATCCTTGTTCTTGGACTATGCTGGCAGTCGTGGAAGCAAAGCAAAATCTGCCAGATCAGACTATAGTGGGGGAAGTGGTGGACGGAGGTCTGGTGGGGGAAGTAAGCTGTTTTGTTTCCCTATCCATTTGTCTTTTCAAAATGCCGGAATATTAAAAATCAATATTAGCACTGTCATTGTAAAGAAAACAATTTTTTGTATGTTTCAGGTAGCATGACTGAAAAAAAATTCGTTGGTCAGTCGGGGGTTTATTTTTATTGTTCTGTTTTAAAAAATAAATAAATTTGAGGTGACGGACTACTCGTAAGAAAAATTAAAAAAAGTAACCAAACATATTTTTCAACCTTTTAAATAATAATACAGGTTTAAATTACGATTTAAATTTGGTTTTGATGCCTGCTAATGAAATATAGAGGGCATGTTTATAGTTGCCTTGGTTGTTTGTCCATCAATTTGTTTGCATCCGGTGGACAAGTAATTCCAACACTGGATGGAGTGCAGTTGGGGTACCTGAAACATGCATATATTTTTTTGTCTTAGCAGTGAATTTATTTTATCATCAATTCATGTATTAAGAGTCGTATCAATGCTAAAATATTGATGTATGTGTGTTAATTTACTTGCACTACAATAATGGTCACCTCCGATGTCCAGCTACCTGGTGGGAGTCGCCATTTGAAACCAGGTCTTTTTATAAAGTGGGTACCTGGGTATCCTTCAACTTTTTTTAAGTTGTGATCAAACATGCAACAAAGGCAAATTATTTGTGTGAAATGGTAATCTGACTAATTCAAGTTTTCTTCTTATTCGTTCATTCAAAAATTTAATAAAAACTATGTTTTCCCCATAGAATTTATCTAGTGCTGGTTGTGTGAGCAGAGCGAGTGACTTTCACCTCCTTCCACTTGTTAGTATTATTGAAGGTTTGTTTATATGGAAATATTTTATGATTTCCAGGTGCAAATTTTGAACCTGTTTGTTAAGTTCTCTCAAAAAGATATATGAACGTCAGCAGTGCAGTATGCAGGGATGACAATCAGGTGAAATTGAACATTAAAACAAGAAAGAAAAGGGTAAGTGTTAATTTTCAAATGAAAAATATTATTTTATTACATAGGCGGTGAAAAGACTAAGGTTCTTTTTATAAAGAACTTATCATACAATGCAACTGAGAAGGACCTTCTAACTGCATTTGGTGGATGTGAATCTGCACGACTGATCAGGTTTCCCGATACTGGAAAACCAAGAGGGTTGGTATCTTATACAAGATTGATCACCAATTCAAACAAGATTGATAGTCATTATACATGCTGTTGAAACTACTGGCCAACTGATCTTCTCAGATTACTGAAAATACACATTTCTTATTAGTTAACATCCACTGAACCTGATGTGTAAATGCTTGTACACATTAGAACCATTCAACATGAATCAAACCAGTTAAGTACCGTCACATTTCAAATGAATCCTGCAACTAACATTTTGATTGGTGGAGGTGGAGCCATATACAGGATGATAGGTGAAAATTACTGTAGGTGAAGCTTCAAAGGCTTCAGAGTTTAACATAAAGAGGATATTTCTGTGAATGAAAACCGATCATCAAATTCATTTAAGGTAATAGGATTGTGTCACCATTTCTCAGTAGAATTCTTCAAATTTTGTAGTTATATTGCTTTGAAGGAAAGAAAATTGTCTGCCACAAAAAAACAATTTTGCAAAACGATGTCAATAAAAATTATACTGCCATAGATTAGTATTGCATTAATTTATATCAATTTAATAAATGCTGAAATTATGTCAAATATATTATCTATAAACGATTAAAAAATGACATTTTATAATAAAACCATATGCAAATATTAATTGCAGGTAAGAGTTATCTTTCTTGAAAAACTTCACAGTAGTGAAATAGGTAGCCAGTTTCCTGAAGTACAGAAAAATGGATACATGTGGCTCATTGATAAAAAAATCCCTGAATTAATGCCTGCATTGCTTTGAAATACTTTAATATTGAGAAAAACACTGTTCTGTCAATAATAAACATACGATATTCATCAGTTTAATATTAAACATTAGAATATGTGGAAATTGTGATACTGTCTCCCTACATTGGATTTTCAACTAGGGATGAACTTCCTACCTGTTTATCAATACATATCTATGACCTTAAATCAATTAATTGGTTTATATATTTTCGTAACAAAATGAGTAAAAACCTGTGTATTATGAATCAAGATTCATGGCAAGTACTTGCAGTCTCGTACACAAAAATACCATTTGCATTCAAGTAGATACAATGTTTTGGCATGGCATATAAGTTGAGGGCAAAATCGGAAACATGACGAGGCATATAAGTTGGGGGCAAAATCGGGAACATGGCAAGGCTCTAATTCATTTTGAGGGTCAAGTGTCGTTTAAGGAGGTTATATACCCCGATATTGAGGAAAACTGAAACCCAGGTAAATACAAGTTCATGCTGTTTTCATCTGGTTGTAGACTGGGAATGGTCATCAGATTTAGATATGATTTCAGGTTCAGGTAAAATACAGCCTACTTCGCTAGAGAGTGCTGCAAATTGATATATTCAGTCACTAATACATTTTCTCTATATTCTATTGGAATTCTATATTCTGCACAGGGGGGAAAAAGAATATTAACATGTCAATTGACATCTCAGAGATGCCTCTGGTTAGCCCCCCCCCCCCTTCCCTTAAACTTGCAGTGAATGAGTGATCACACTTTTGATGTACTGAATTTTCAGCATCTACACTTTAGGGGTACTTGTGTGCACATTTCATACTGCATTGAGTTTTACACCTCACTAAGCATTTATGCATCAGGTTTAACCAGTGTAATTGTTTTTAAAAAATAGTTATTATGAAAACATGACTACCAGAATAGCACAGACTTCCATCCACAAAATTCTTGTCTTTTAGAAATTGAAGAACAGGATTTTCTTACCTGCATTATATGTAATATTAAAGAAAATCCTCCCTCTCATGAAAACTAGAGCAAATTATTGGGCTATTTCAATGGTTATCAAATATCTTAATACTTCTTATTAAGACAATGATGCCTTTGTGGTTCAAGTTATTATATATATATGAAAATTAAACCTTTTGATTATTATTCGATACAGATATAACAACATAATTATGAGTTTAATTATTTTACAAGTATGCATGAACAAATGTTCTCCCTTCAATCTGACAGCTTTGGTTTCGTGGAATATACATCACAAGAGGATGCAACTGATGCCTTGAGAGAAAAGCAGGGCTTTGACATTGATGGAAGAGAGATTTACATAGATTATGCCTCTGATAGACAAGGTAAAACATCGTTTATGAAGAAAAGAAATGTCAATAGTTTCATTTAAATAAATCATTTGTGATCTGAGCGCTTGTTTTCATGTGTAATATGCCAGCTTGTTTTCATGTGCAATATGCCAGATCAAATAAATGAATTGGAAGCTAAAAAAAGAGATAATTAGATATAAATGTTGGTTCTGTTTCCTTATCTTAATAAATTGTATCTGGTACTTGGGAAAATAAGATCAAAGACTTCTTTCAGTATTGATGTTTGCGTCTTGTTTTAACAATTGAGTGATTGATTTACTCTGACAGGAGGTGGTGATCGTAGATCAAGTGGCGGATATGGAGACCGGGATCGCAGAGATAGTCGTGGTGGTGGCTACAGTAGAGGAGGAGGAGGAGGAGGCTACCGTGGAAGTAGAGGTGGCAGTCGAGGATATGGAGGAGGAGGAGGAAGAGGAGGTGGAGGTAGTGACTACCGGGGAAGAGGACGTAGTAGTAGTGGTGGTGGTGGTAGCAGTAGTCGGGACTATGGCAGCAGGGAATATAGCAGCAGATACTGAGAGATGCAACTAGCCCCTTGTGAAACTTTATATTTTGATATATCTTGAATCGAAGATAAAAAAATGCTGACATTTCATTCTAGTTAACACCTTTAAATGTAGTCAACGTGTTTTCTGAAAAAAGAAACCTCACCATGTTTTCTCAAAGAAAATATGTAGGAGGACTATTCTAATTCCTTTTAAACTTTACGAATACATAAAGTAAGCTTCCTAAGGGGCATACTGATGATTGTAATAGTATATATTGGTATTTTTTTTTATATAAAGATGAAATTAAAGTGACTAACATACTCTATCCTATGTAAATAAGTCACATTGTGGAATATGAAAATTCTAGCCTAGAATGTAGGGCTCGCCTAGGTTCTGCCAAATTTTACATCTGAGGGTAGAATTTTCATACCTCCAACATTGTAGTGATGAACTCTTTTTCTCCCACCTCCTAACTGGGAATGACGTAAAATCAACAATGACATTGAAAATGCAACATTAAATATAAACTAAATATCAAGTATGCTTTACAGAGGAATTGCTTCAAAATTAGAGTGCCATCCAAATGTTTACAGCAAGCTTAATAATATTTTTTGTGGGGCAACACAAGTTGCTGATATGTTTTTGCATTGGACTTCACCTTGTAAAATGTTAGCTGATAGGTACTGAAAAATGCAGTACTGGAGATACAGGTGACCAAGATTATCTTGCATGGATGGTCCATATGATACATATCTTTCATATGTAGAGGTGGGAGAACAAATTTTAACTTGTTTAGTTATTAAACTCTGTTTGTTTGAAAATTTACAATATCAATAATTTGTGTAGTGATTAAGATTACACTAGACACTCACCGAGTTCACAAATTGACTAAAATTTCAAAAATCTTCTTCTCCAAAACACCTGAACCAATTGCAATGAAATTTTGCAGGGACCTTCCATGGACAAAGGTCGGAATTTAGTACTTCCTAGAGAATTATTGAACAAAAGTTTGTACTTGATTGTACATGTTTCTACAGTCAACTTGATAAAATGGCCAACTATTTGATGGAACATTCTGAACCATTTTATTGTACACTGGTGGAATTTTGTTTCTAAACTTTGCATGCAATGTATGTTCAGTATGTTGTACAAAACATTTGTTTTGGTCTTAAATTCTGTGCTATTGTTTTTTAAATTTTGATTCATTCCTTTTCCCTGAAGAGATAGATTTACACAGTGATTTGTTGAAAATGACTTGTAATTTTTTTTAATCATGATCATTCATATTACCTGTTGCCAGTTATAATGGTCTTGCATTTAGTAAAACCTTTATATATGATGTAACAAAGGAGCATCAATAGTTGAAGTAGACGTGGATTACAAGTACTTGAACTGTATCTTATTTATTGCTTGCTACAAGATCAATATTTAGAGCAGAAGATAGTCTTATATAAATTGACGCACACATGTATTGATGTATCAAAATCATGTCTTTATCATTTTGTGTTAGACATTTAAGTTTTATTTGTTGGCATGCTACTCATTTTACAAGGTTTATATGTACTGTGTTGTGTGATGGTTCTTTTCATTCATAATTACATCAGGGGTATACAATTCCACTAGCTAGCTGGTCAGGGCTAGTAAATGTTATGCCAGGACTACCAAAACATTCAATATAAAACATAAACATGTAGCCCAGATCAGGCGTGTAGCTTTAAGCCCTGGCTAGGGCAAGTGCTCCGAAGTGTGTTTTTTAAATGTTCCCATGTTAAACTTGAATTTCATCAACCACAAGTATTATAAGGGCCCTACATCGAAGATGCGGGTGCTCTATAGTAATCAAGTTGTCCGTCTGTCAGTTTTTTCTTTTCTTTTGCACAATATTGATGGAAGTAAAAGGAGTATGTTTTTAAAATTTTACATGATGATTTCCCGTGCATCCTAGTTCTGCTTGGTAATTTTTCGGGCAGATCAGATTCAAAATGGCTGCTAATCAACCATCTTGGATTTTAACATTAAAAATTTCAAATTTGTTAGCTCTTATCGGGTAAACATTTTGTTATGACATTATGAAGCAAAGTTGGTCACAATACAACAAGAAGTCAACTGATCGAAGGTCAGGGTCAGGTTTTGTATCCTTCAACTGCTTAACATTTTGTTTTAACATTATGAAGCAAAGGTTGGTCACAATCAAACAAGGTATCAATTGACCAAAGCTGAAGGTCATTGGGTCAAAGTTCAAGGTCAAATTTACATTTCTTAACTGGTGAACATTTTGTTATGACCTGAAGCAAAGTTTGTTAGAATCAAACAAGGTTTCAATTGATCAATGATTAAGGTTATTAGGGCCCCCTATTGGAGAACTGTCTGTTCGTCTGCAAATTTTGTTCCTGGCAGATAACTTTGGTATTAATTGACCCATATACATGAAACTTGGTCAAGATGTTCAGTTCATAAAAATACACACAGAGGTAAAAGGTCCAGGTCAAAGGTTAAGGTCATTAGGTTCAAATGTCGAGGCATGTCAAATTTTGCATCTTTTCACTGATTGAAGCAATGTTGGTCGGAATTTAACATGGAGTCAATTGACCAAATGCCAATGTCACTTGGTCAAAGGTCCAGGTCAAATTTTATATCTTTTCCCTGATGAACATTTTGTTATGACATAATGAAGCAAAGTTGGTCAGAATTAAAGCATAAGTCAACTGACCAAAGATCAGGGTCACTGGGTTAAAGGTCAAGGTCATTTGGGTCCCAAAGTCAAAGAAAAAGTGGATCTCTTGACTTTGACCCTCGCTCTTGATGGGGGGGGGGGGGGTATTTAAGGTGAAATAAAACAAATCAAAGCCAACAAATGAGTATTGCACCGGTATTAACATTTCTATTTGCCCAGCAAATATGGATTTAAAGTCCAAATGTCAAGCTAAACTTTATGAGCAGATTGCTTCTTGATTATGGTGATATATTGCCACAAGACAGGGCCCTTACTGACTTGTCCGTGTTGTAGTTTAATTTTATGAATTCCATGTTGTATATTCTTGTGGCTTGACTATTTTCGTTTTATACATCATTATTTAGGCATTTTAATTTGAGAAACTTACAATATTGACTAATAACAATTTGATTTAGATTTTAAGCTTGAATTGTATATGTTTTAAATTGTACTATTTTTTGATGTTTGAACAATATCATGAATGTTTGGTAAAGGAAATATATACTTTCAAGTCTTCAGTATAAAAATGCTGGTTTCATAGTTACAAAAATAAAAGATATCTTGATGTTTGCAATGCAGAAAAAAAGGGACTTGTAAGTCATTACTTCTTAGTAATGAACTATGTACAATTATTTATCATGCAACTGAATAAATCCATATCGAGGAACATCCGTCTTGATTTAAATTGTTTTTGATATTCTATTGAAATTTTAATGTGTCATATTTTAGAATGGAGTTGAACTCTCAATGATAGACTTGAGGCTAAAGCCAGTTGATTGAAAACATACAACTCGAAGCAGCCAGAATCGTGACTGGGGCAACCAAACTCACAAGTCACTACAGACTATATGCAGAATCGGGCTGGGACCCCCTTATTGTCCGAAGGAGAAAACACAAACTACTCCAATTTCATAAGATTGTTCATGGTCAGTGCCCATCTTATCTTGCTAACGTTCTACCTGCTCGCCATTCAAATATACATACAATACAAGAAGAGCTAACAATTTCTGTCGAGTCAACTGTCGAACTAATCCATATAAAGACTCTTTCCTCCCCTCTTCTGTTGATTTATGGAATGCACTACCAGATAACGTAAAATACAATCCCTCAATTACTAACCTCAAAACAATTCTAAATGCCGACACTCTCTGTTCCTAAGCACTATTACTACTGCAGAAACAGACCAGGTGAGATGCATCATGCACGACTTGGGATGAACTGCAGCTCCTTAAATATTCACCTGTTTGCACGAAACTTAGTTGATAGTTCCATGTGCTCATGTAATTTGTCCACTGAAACTACAGAACATTTCCTCCTCCTCCAATGTCCTAACTACCAGCAGCTGAGAATCCAATGTTTTAGTCGCCTACCTCCTAACTATAATGTAAGCTTTTTACTTTATGGTAGACCCGAACTACCAATTCACTTATATGAAACTATTTTTGACTGTGTTCAAAACTTCATCATTCAGTCTAGACGTTTTCTAAGAAAATTTAACTTCATTCATATCAGTAATCATGTTTGTTGTGGTGATACTTGCAATTACTTGCATATCGCATTGGTCTGCCTAGAGTGTTAGAGATCATTAGTGCCAGTTAAGAATTGCATTTGTAGTTTTAAAATGTTTTCATAACATACTACATAAACTTTCCACAACATGTACAGACACTGCTCTTTCGTCAAATATCGTTTGTATTCTTGCAATCAGCGTTTGTTCTCTCAATGTGGTTTTGATTCCCATCGCTTCCCCATCAAACACCATCCCCATCCCACTATAAATCCTTGCACCCCTTCTCTTTCTTTTCCCTGCACATGTTATACTGACAATATTATAATTTATATGAATTATAATATTGTCAGTACTGATCCATAGCTGCTGTTATGTCTATAAGGAGACGGATTTACATAAGTACTATGTCCTTGTTTCTGGATCCTTTTTCTGTATTTATAACCATGTACTATAGTAATTTAACATCAATAAAATAAAGTTTAAACTAATGATAGTCAGTTTTTGCATAAATGATTTTGACAAAATCTATATCTTTAAGTGCAAGGCTAACATTGATCAATTTATATACTACATCAAATTTTTATTCTGGTGTTTAAAACATTTCATTGTCACAAAAGCAATAGAAGAGACTTGTAAAAGCCTTTCACCCATAGCATGACCAAGTCTATCTAATGATATACATTTGGTGGTAAAATTGACAGAAGATGGCAATAACCTAGTTTTGAACCTTGGTGTGCTGGACTTTATTAACTAAGTTTGAATTTTCCTGCATATTGACTGAATACGTCTGAATTTAAAGGTAAATAGCTAGGGATTACTGGGCATATGTGAGCTGTTTTGTAAACGTGTTGCATATCAATAAAGGTAATCCAAAACTTTCCGAAGTATGTTAAATGTGAAGTTTTTGGCAGGTTTTGACGAAGAGTCATCCCGCCAAGTTTTCAGGTATAATGTAATTTTCCTGGCATATAATGGCATGCCAGAGACTGCTTGTAGGTTCTGTTCGCATTGCCAGTAAGTAAATTCATGCGTATTGTTACGGTACTAACTCTTCTTGGCTGTTTTTTACGGATGATACCTTTTGAAAGAATGGTCAGATTGTATTATATTTCTATTATCTGCTTGTGCTACCAAAGTCCCTCGCCCGGCCAAATAAGCAAAAACAATATGCAATCTAATCAATAATACATCAAAACTAGAGTTGTTTTCGTGAAAAAAAACATATCTCCATTTATTAGCCAATATTCGTTCCCCTTCCCTTGCAATATCAAAATACACTTATCAAGTACAATGATCGTTTATCTAAAAAAAATCTTAAATACATTTTTTTATGAGAGGAATTTCCGACTTGTAAATTAGAAAATGCATATATATGAATGAATGCAATTAGAAATTTATGATGTGGAAAGTCACAATACCCTAAAGGTTTTACAGTTAAACCTGAAAAGTTTGTATTTATTTGACCTGCACTGCATACCATCTCTTGGTGATGCAGATATACTGCAAAATTCATGGAGACATCTTTAATGATTTGATAGTTATAAACCAGACTAAATGTTACTAAAATGTTTGCATACATTTGACCTTTTGACCATGAGGTTAAGGTCACAATGACCGTGCATTGCACATCATCTCTGTAACACGCAAGTTTCTTCATGATATATTCAATGGCTTCAGTCAATGTAACAGTTGCTGACGATAGTCCACTGCAAATCATGTGTAAGTGATGCTTGTATAATGCATGTTTCATCAAGATATATTCAACGGTTTAAAAGTTACGATCTGGACAAAACTGTCCTTAAAATGCACTACTTGACCGTTGACATTGAGGTCAATGTCAAACTATGGAGTTTCAAGGTTACTGCCCGGATAAGCAATTATTCGAAGAAAAATAACGGGAAGAACCGAAAATAAAACAGTATGTCTCCCTTCCAAGGTGATTGTAGTGGTCTCTCTCCAAGATTTGATTTTGCTCAAACTTGGTGTGGAAGTGTATTATGACATTGCAAGTTCCTCTTCGACTATTGGAGCAGTTTAGGTACTTGTGTAACGGTCATCATTATAATAAAAATGTATTGGTCAATTTAAATGACAAAGTATTCATTATGCAATTCAATATTTAATACATCAACAGAAGTTTCATCACAGTGTGTCCCGTTCTATGTAACCACATTCTGAGTAGTTACTGTAAATTGTGTTGCAATTCTTTACCATCAACAGATTTGCAAGATAAAACTCTCAGGAACACTTTGCCTGTTTCTCCAACGGAACGACTCATCTGAAATCGAAATAATATTTGATGTTTGAGAATGATAAACAATCCTTATCCGTAGTAATTGTTCTTTTTGCCACACAATTATGAAACGGGAAGGGTAAATCTATTTAGAGACTGAAGGTTAATAAGAAGAATGTAAGAAAGAAACTGTATTGTTTAACAATTATTATTGAAATGATATAAATGTTGTACTGTTTTTGTGTGAACCAAAAGAAAATAAAAAAATATTCATTACAAAAAGAAAAATAGAAGAATGTCACAATACCCCCTCCCCCAGCTCCGCAGAAAAATCACGATTAGAAGCCCAAGTTACGATGTAGCATACTATACAATTTGAACGGCATAAAGGGATGTAATTCATATTGCATTATTTCTTTAAAATGTAGGTCAATTTCAGCTTACACATCAAGCGTTTAATAAGAGCGACCTAGCTGCACTGCTGTTGCAATGCCATTTTTACATTGTATATCCAGAGCAAAATCCTTAGATTTTGATGATAACCTCAAAGATGGTCATGGAAGTGATTTATTTGAATATCGAGAACATCCTGGTTGCTTATAACAGTTTCTTGGAAAGCAAAAGTAGAGGGTGCTCGAGTCAAATTAAAGGCTATTGAACACCCTGTTACCCTGACCTTGTAAAGGATGTCATGGACAAGATATGTGATGGTGACGATAATCACGTTCACTTTTCTAGTCCGTAAGTAATTATTTCCATACTATTTAGTATTTAAAAGGATAAAAGAGTTTACGTACTTTGAAGTACATTTTGCGCTTCTCTAAAAGATGGGTCCATTTCACTTGAGTCTTCCTTTGAAAGGAAATTTGAGCAAACTCTTCTGCCTGAATTAAAAATAATCATTAATACAATAGTTTGCTTTTTTATTTCATGATACATCTATACATTTTTTAAATAAATTTCAAGAGAACGGGACTAATACAACTCAGCTTGTGAAGGCAGTGAACTAAATAATTTGGGGGAAAAATAAACAATGTATTTACTGTTAATGTTATGCTTTGAACTTTTTATCCCTCAGCGAGTAAGTGACTGCTTTTACCTTAATTCCAATCAGCTGTTGTGCAACATCTCCATCCAGATGGCAGTATTCGATGGTTCCCGTATAATCAGACCACGAAACTGTCACCGAATACTCAACCGAGGGCTGTGTGTTGTCTACAGTTGATGAGATGGCGTTTAAAATCCCATTACTACATTCTGTATTACTGCAAGTATATCCGGTGAGTTCTGTTACTGTTTGTCTACATTTCTGACTGAAAGTTAAAGGATTTTTTGACACTAGAAAAGAAGTTTTTCTAATTATATGACAGTAAAATAATTGTATTCTACACCACAATATGTCCAATGATCTTACAGGTAATACGGTCCATGTTCTCACTAAAACTAAAACTTGCATCAAATTGAGCCTTAGCAGCTTAGTTTTCATGTGGGCAAATAACCAATTTGAATGCTTCTCTCCAATGAATGTGTAAAGGCATCACACAAGTAGCCTTTCTATTTTTTCTACGGTAATTAGAAATACATCGAACATGGGATCGAGTAACAACTTTGACTTTTCGTATGTCGTCGTCGGCGACATTGAGCAAACATATCATCTTCACCACTCTAGCTGGGGACTGAACTAAAGACCGACTGCAACAATGACTACTAACTAATTAATGCGATACACTTAAATTTCGCCATCACCTTCATACTAGAGGAGACATTCCACGTACCATCTGTATCTGAGGACTCGGCTGGTATCCCCATCAACATCAAACTTTGACAAGTACGCAAAGACTACTCCATACACAGCAGGCTTCCATACGTCTGTCCTTTCTATCTTCATATCAATTAATTGTGAAACCGTGTAGACGTCCGTAATACTTTCCACTTTAAAAAACACATCCATAACGATAACATACATATATAATTCGATCCCGTTCACTGTGTTGTGTTGTACGTTATCAGTTGTAGCTAGAAATATTTAAATATCAATTGGTTCATGAACATTTCACCCAAAAGACCGACTTATTTACTTGAATTCAAGGGAAGTGACTTTGTTTTTCTGTATACTATCAGTAGCTTTTACCAGTTTTAATCTGCAAATGTTAAGCGTTTAAGAATAGCCAAGTGTGATATGATGTAGCAGGTACAGGTTCCATATATTCTAAAATACATTTTTTCATCGGTAGGAGATTGACCATTCATGATAAAAAAAAAACTGAAGAAAAACCCACCCTGAGTACTTGTAAAGCTAAAAAAAAATTATCGAATGATCAAAACATTACATGGGGGATCCGATTGCCCTGCCGTTCCGTCTTCATCCTCGATCATTTGGGAATGAGCGAACTGGTACAAACTGTGAGCCTCCAGTGTATCTATAAAATACAACCCGCTTGTCAAAACTGGTACGTTGTTGAAGTAAAAATATTCGACGAACGTGTTCTGTCCATACAAAATAACAATGAATTTCATTCATTATTCTTTGCCCAATTGTTCATTATTACTTTTCTCGACTTGATAACATATTGCTTGTCCTGACAATTCTATTAGCATTTTTACGGTTCCTTCAGGTTTCAATTAGACAGGTTACCCTTTAAACACTACACAATTACCAATCAACGGACATATGAATGCGTCATAGAATGGTTTCCCGTATGTGTAACGATTGAGTTACCTGGATTAACGGTGAATATTGTCTTGGAGTCTGCAGTGGATACCATAGTAGATCGGAAGTCATCATAGGAAACTCGAACATCGGCAATGAACAACACTGTTGATAAACGGAAATAATAATTTCTGTATTCGTTTCTAATTACACATGTATTAGTGTTTTAATAATACCGTACACATATGTTTGACAATCCCGAAGACAGACATTTGAAATTGTTCATTTCAAAGGGAAAAAAAATGTTTTAAAGATTTAGTTATTTTTGCTCAACTTAGAAACTTCATTTATTATATAATGTGAAGTGAAATGTCGAGTTATATGTTTTGTTATTGACAACATTTAATGGTGTTCACACGAGGAAGTTATATTTACCCGTGTCTAGTGGTACCCAACTCTGCACAATATCTATCATATCGGATTCCCATCTGGAAAAAGAAGTGTGTATGTTCTATCAAATGTTGTTATGGTCCTATAACACACATTGCTATTTATGACAAACTTAATAAAGCCCGGCAGAGCTTTATGTAAGAAAGGACCACACCAATATTTGCTAAAACGTTCATTATTTATATTTTTCATTTTGATAGAGTAGTTACGCTTTAGTTAGTTATTTCGAACAGTTCTTTGAACAGCAAATTAAGTGTTGACATAAATGAAATTGATGACGTCACAATAGAGATTGATGACAATACAAGAGCAAATGTTGTTATAGTCTCATAACAAAATTTGCCTTCTCAATGCATTGCAATGGAATGATGCAGAGCAAATGTAAATATCACAAAATGCATGTCGACAGGACTAAATATATTTTACTTTGAATGAGCATTGCACGATTGATAATTAACCTATTCAGTACATAATTTATATAAATAATGTACACTGGTCTTTCAAAACATAGTGTTTTGTTTAATGTTCTTGTTTTGGTTAGGCCTACAGTTTGACTGTTATTAGACGACCACACGCGACTCCGACCGTACTGAAAGAATTTGATTTCCTATAATCCCGGAAATATGTGCTTTTAATATTTTTATAATATTCCTCACTTTTTTTTTATTGTTAACTTATTTTACAACATTTTAATTCAAATTGTTTTACAAAATCAAGGCAAACGAGGAGCATGTTTCATCCATCAATTTCAGTTCGCATCTCTTCGTCTTTTTCCCTGTTTTGGTAGTGATGTCCTTCACTGGTCCTACCTGTAATTATACAAAAAAACAGATCAACAAACTTGTTGAAATGTACAGTATATTAAACAATTTTTGGCTTCCCTCTCCCTTGGAATCAACTTTCATCAAAGTGAAGTTGTTCAGTCTATAGTCTTTGTTGCAACGGAATAGATAAATGACTTTATACTTGTTCTAACATTTCGGGTTGAACTGCCTGGAAATGTAACGATTTTGAATAAAGCTGTTATCCTGACCTGGAAGTTACGCTATTGTCAAAAATCAATGTTAATTCTAAAATATTTACCTTTTTGACTACAGCAAGAAGATTGATATGTTCCCCACTTAGACTCTGACCATGTGCAATAACATCCTCCAGAATGTAGTAGTCATTATTGGCTTTGATCGGAACATTTTGTAATCTCCGGAAACGGTCATCGTCTGGTCCAATGTAACGGTCAATGTTGGAATGATTTTCACTAAATGTAATGTTGAACGACCTTTAAAAGAAAATGGCAAACAACCTAATTATGCTGAAGAGCATTCATCAATTTCTATAGTGTGTCAATAAAATAACATGAACTTAACTTACATCGGTGTTGAGGGCTTGAACTTATCTTCATAGCCATCATAAGTTTTAGGTTGAACTTGTACATTAGTGAGCTGAACTGCAATATAGAAATTGAACAAATAGGTAACAAATTCGAAACATATTGTACTAAATGAAGAATTTTAAAAGGTGGCTAATTTGAAACGAAAAACGTTTGTACCTGACCTTTTCATCGAAACCAACTCTCGTAGACTCGTACACTAACTCATACGCTTTGACGTAACTAAAAATCCAGTCATCTGCAATAATGATGCTTATTGTAGATGACTTGATATTTGATTTTAAAACGTCTTTATTTTTATATAAATATGTTGCAGTGAAACAAAGGTTTATAAAACAAAATCGATCTTTTTACAAGGATACTATATTATAGATATTACCAATGTCTGAAATGGCAAACTTTGCTGCAATGTCTTTGATTCCATGTTCTGCTCCCCAGCATGTGACATTCACAAAATAGGACGGAGCATCTCTAAGTACAAAACTCAGCAAGTACCTTTCAGTGCCTGGGTCTAGAGAAAATTCACAAGGTTTAGGTACATAAACGTAAAATCTTCCTTCATCAGCAACACCTTGATTGACAAAATACAGGGTTAAAAATCAATAATTCTGTACAAAGTTTACAGTCTAAAAGGTTTTTTTCTCCACAGAAGTTAACTGTATTGGATTGGTTCATGCTTTAAGATGGCCGATCTTCTTGTATATAGGTTTGAATATAAGATATATACCTCTTCTAAATGATGGCTACTGGTAACTATTAATTAAACAAACTTGTTGTATGTCCAGAAATCGTATTGATAAAAAAAGAGAAACCAGAATTCATGTTTTTTTGTCCAAAATCTGATTCAGTAGGATGTGCCATGAATATTTGTTCGCGTTACTCAGAGTAAGGTTGGAAAGGGGCATGCATTGGTGGTTTCAAAATTAAGAACCTGAGTATGTACACGATCTCACGTTCTGGAGAAAACATCGAGAACCCTAAATAATAACAACCAAAACAAGGCATGCTAACTTTTCTTGCTTTGTATGCACTTTGGGGTGTCCTTGGTCAATATTATCCCAGCAACTGTCTGAAAAAAGGAGAAGACATAAAATCCATAGCACATAAATAGAATAAATAGGCCGGTATATTTCACTATTTTTTCAGTTGTAATAGTCTACCATAAGAATAATGAACATATGTATTTCCATGCATCGTACTGCAATGTGCTTTTGATTAGGAAGTTTTAATTTGTAATGATTTTTGTCCATACATCATAACATGTATGGACAAAAATCATTACAAATTATAGGCCAATTATTAACAAAAACTTTCATCAAAGACAGATCCCTTCGCTTCGCATCGTTTATGTTGGATATCTATCTGTTCAATATATTTTTTGTAATGGTTTTATTTTTCTAAGTTTTTCATTACATATACAAAAACAGGACATTCACGCATTCTCACATGTATCACATATACACACACGGACATGGATTAAGCATTATCACAATCAATTTCATTGTCATCATTCTATCATCATCAACATATCATCATCATCATCATTATCTTTATCATCTTCTTCATCCTCTTTCATATATACTTATTCAATCATCATCATTGCCATAATCCATCATCATCCAAAATCTTCAGTCATCATTTCATATATATCATCATCAACATATAATTATCATCATCATCATATNTATTATATCAGCTCAATATACTTAGAATATTCCTATCTATTACTGTTACCACTTAATTGGTTTTCTATATATAAATCATGAAATTGAGGGGTTTATGGAATATCAAGAAGGTTTTGCCACTTTTCCCAGTCTTTTTGGAAGGTATGTCTATGTTTTTCATCTTTCCCATTCACAATATATTTTTGTATCTCATAAGTCTCTTTTATAAGTCTCTGTTCAATATATTGTTAGGTAGCTACTTGAACATACAGCGATACACTTATCTGGTCATTGCATGATAAATCGTTTAACAATGAAAAATACATGTAAATAAACAAATAAAAATAAATGAAAATCTCATGAATTTTAGTCAAGTTAGGGGTTGTATGTCGTACAGGATTAGTAACTCCAGGATGCAAGTCCTCCAGTTTGGTCACAGCTGCATTCTTTAGCACATCATTTCTTGGATATTTTGCCCTCTGGTCATAAGATTGCACATTGTGAGAAACATTATCAAAATCAGAAAACCTGCCAGTCCAAGCCATTACTGAAGCTGTCGTCTGCTTTCAACAGGTTTTTGTAGCAGACGACGGAAACTTATCTCGGATAAACCTCTTAAAATTCAGTATATGGACTTTCCCCGTCTCGCGATCGGCTATTATTTACTTCTATGGTTTTCTTGATTTGTTGTCCTTGATCATAGCTGTTTGAATATTTCAGCGATAATGTATTGCTAGCTATCCTCTTCAGCGAACAGTGATAGTTTGTTTACAAATTGCACGTGTTTCAAAAATGACAGATGGCGCTTTTTAAACAAGATCAGTATCGCCACAACGTTTTCATTGATGGAAACGCTAATCAAACGCTACTTTAACATTGATGAAGAAGGAATGGAAGAAAACGGATCAGAAGAAAACACAAGTGCGGCTTCTGACGTTAGTGAACAGTTCATTGGATTATTTTGCCATACTTAAATCAATATACGTTTTGCTGTTTTCGTGCATGTTTTCATATTTAACGATATTCTATTGATTGCTTGTCCCTCCTTCCAAAAAAGACCTCGACACGTAGCAACATACTCTGAGCGTTATATGTTATCAGAAGTTTGTAGATGAGTTCACTGATTTGAAGTTTTGGAGGCTGATGTCAAAATCAGATGAAAATACTGTTGATCGTTGATTACATCAGAAACTATCTCGGCACTATTTCGGTGGTTTTTTTCATGTCCATGTGTTTCCTGGTTAGATCGTCCTAATCACAGGGACATGAGAATTTGTTACAGTACGGTATGTTTTGACCAGTAATATTTGAGAGTAATATTATACCCGGAACTGGACACGGTCCATCATCGGCGACCAGATAGTCCAATTGTTAGAGCGTAAGGCCGTTGCATTTCTCTTTCTCCTGTTACATAATTGGCGAGCTTGCCATGAGCCCTTGTTTCAAGCACTGGGTGAATTGGTGAATGCTTAAAGCAAGGACATATCCGAATCTGGGTTGTAAAAAGTATTGTCTTTAGAGGCGAAGACTTAGGATAAGGATGGGGAATGTAGGGTAACTGGAGTGACTGGGTCGATTGTCCTCGATCAGCTGATTAAGCTCAATTGGAACAGTGTCCTTCTCGTGTTCGGAGGGTCCCATGTTCGAACCCCGGTCAGGCTGTTGCATTTCTCTTTCTCCTGTTACATACCTATTAAAGTTTAGATCACCACTTGGTAAAACATACCACCCAATAACATAATTTAGATATTGAAAATATGATGATTCATTGAAGAAATCCTGACAAGTGCAACATGATCTCAACATAAAAACAAACACAATACAATTTTAAAGTCCTGACAAACTGTATAAACCACATATTACAACAAGTAGACTCCAGTAAAAAAACTAGGATTAACACTAGAACAATTTCAAAAGGGACATTCACATCAACAACATCACCTCCAATGCAAATAAATCATTAGGATTTCTAAAATACAACCTAAAAACACACTCACAACATATAAAAGACCATGCAAACAAAGCAATAGTCAGATTCAAACTGGAATACTGCTCTTCTATATCAATTATGGGACCCACACAACACACATTAAATCAACCAGATAGAGACAATACAATGCAGAGCAGCCTGATACGTACACAACAAATACAACAATACAAGCTCCCTACAAGACTAGACAGATCCTCACTAAAAACATGCATACTACAAACCAAACTTATACTATTATACAAAATTATACACCATCATGACGCAAAAGATCCCAACACCATCCTCATACCAACAGACTAAAGAACAAGACATGCACACCCTTACACCTACAGTACAGACACATTTCTGCTACCAAAGACACATAAAAATACTCATTTAAGGCTCATATCCCCTATCCGGTCCTTGAAGTCCTCTCTCCTCTCTCCTGTATTTCTAAACATTTTCTTCAGGTTGGTTAGCATGGATTATTAAATGATCTTTTTACACAATTAACTAATACAATTTTCTATGTGACATTTCGATGACTAGTACGATATGCACACTCACCTTCATCAGACAAATGACCAGTGAAGCGTATGCACATAAAGGTGTAAAATTTGTACAAGTTGTCCACAAAATTGATGTCAATTTCAGCTATGCTGTAAGCATATGTACAATAGTTGTTATATATGTACCGAAATGACATGATTCAGCTACGCTTTGTTTAATATTTGGTCATAGATGTGACTTATAATTGGTATGAATTTGTTGGATGATATACGATAGAAATACTATGAGTTTATAATATTCTCACTATATTGTACTTTCTTACATTAAAATCGTAACCATGGCAACATGTTAATCTGAATTGCGTAAGAACTTTTTGTCGCAGGAGAAGTCTGCCACATCAGACATGGAGCAGAAGGAAGAAGGAAGGGATTTTGACAGACACTTTGCTCTGTATTCTTGTAATGTACACAAGTAAGTTTTTAAATTGAAGGCAGTAAATGCTCATGTCTTATACAATGTACAAAGTTTTAATGATTTGTTTAACTCAGGAATGTATATTACAATATTTTCTTTTTTTACAAAATAGAGTACAGCATAAATGTTGACAAATTTGCCATGGAATAGGTCAGTAAAATAAGTTACAAAATTCAGAAATGATAGTGAATCTGTGTCATGTTTTTGAATTTAATTTATATGTGTACTTCTGATATTAAATTCATCATATAATGTATTAATGTTAAGGGATTAGTTTGAATTATTGTATTTTTGTTGAGTAGAGAAGAGAGAAACTCCGAAACTGAGAGTATAGCATCAGAGAACAGTCAGACTGACAGCAATGTTAGGTGAGTCACATATCAAATAATGTGTACAAATTGGTTGGTAAACACCAGATCTTTTCTTAAATAGAATTATTGTACACAATACTTTCAATATCATTTTTGTTTCAATTTACTGGTTAATCAAAGTGTTCAAAAGGATTCAAATATAAAATGGAAAAGTGGAAATACTGTGACAATTTTGCAGTTACAAATCTTATACCCGTATGCTGCATTCAGAATGTATCTATATGCCTGTCAACATTTTTATGGGATGTATTTTGGTATGGGGAAAGTGTACATCCGTCCTTTTGTCTGTCCATCCATCCATCCATCCATCTACACTTTGGTGTTATGTAAGATAATTTGCTGAAGTATCATTCAATTTTGATAAAACTAAGTAAGCGTGTACAATACACATCAACTGAAGCTAAGGTGAACTTTGTCGTTATTGTAAAATATTTACTTTAAAGTTAAATCATACTCTCATTGGGTAATTTATTTCTCTTTAGCTAGTTAATGTTTTGAACACAATAAAAGTTTTGAACACAATATGTTTTTAATTTGAATTTGATTAAACTAAAAATGTATGCAAGTTTTAAAAATGTTCTCATCATGTTGCCTTAGCAACTCGAAATTCAGTTTAAGCTGCAGTTTTTAGATCTACTTCGTATCATATCTGGTTTTTCATCAGTTTGACTGTTAATTAGTGTATCCCTGTCTTAATCACCTGTGTGTTTGAAAGTAACGCATGTACAAATATGTTAATGATAAAGTTTGGTGTGTTTGACAAAATGAAATCCCATTACAGAATTGTGTACAATTCCTGCTTTTCCAAACTATGAATACACAAGTTTTGCCTAAGGTCACTAATTCCTTTTACTCATCTGGTGCATTATATTTATATTTGAAAGTAAATATCCAAAACACAGTTTTACTTTTCATTTTGTCAAACTATGGTTCTGTTTTCTTCATAGTTTGTCTGTGTTATCTACTGATTTGGATGCATCTGTTGAGACTGAACTTCGGAAATTCATCGGTCAGAAATTGATGAAGAATTTGGTTTATAGTGATACTGGATCCATATCCTCCATGGAATACAGGTAAGTTACTGGGGAATCCTTGTACTGTTATAAAGAATAAGTAATACTGTAATTGACTAGAAAGGTAAAGTAATGGTCATCAAAACTAAATATATGTACAGTATTAAATAATCATAGTCTTCATGTTAATAGTATTGGTTATAACACATTGTTTATTCTTGATGTCAGAAAGTGTTGCTAATCCTATCGTGTTTTGAATACAGGTCAGATGACGATGTGAAGACCAGTTTCTCCTGTTACTATTGTATGCTGGAGAATGTGGAGGAGAAACAGCTGGTGGTCAACGGTGACAATACACCTGACCCGCAACAAAGGAAGTACATTGTCTGTTTCATGGCGCTACAGAAAAACAGTTTGGACTAATATCCTTTCAGTCTGTTGCTTAGTGCATATATTTTTTTCTGCTTCTATTTTCCTGCTCCTGATTTAAAGATGTAACAGGGGTCATTAATTTTTTCATTGCCTCCGCTAGGATTTGAACCCGGGACCTTTGGTTTACTAGTCTTATGCTCTACCGAATAAGTTAAAGAGAAATTCTCCTTAGCCGAGACGGTAGGAAGCGGCTAGTAGTTTACCAGAGTGACCTACTCCCCCTCTAGGAAATAACTCTTCCCGAGTTTCCAAGGGGTCATGGCGATTCTTTTGCAAATATCGACGAGTATTTTTGTCATATCTCCTGAGTCCTTACGTGGGCGCCAATGTAACAGGGGTTATATATTTTGCGCTAGGAGTCAAACCTGGGTCCTCTGGTTTACTAGTCTTATGCTCTACTGAATGAGCTAAATAGAAATTCTCCTTAGCCAACACAGTAGGAAGCAGCTAGTATTTTACCAGGGTGACATAGAAAAAAAATGGTTTATATGAGAAGGGAGATAATCTTCAACACACGCATCCATTATCCCTACATAACAACTTTATTTCTTAATGGATATTTATCAAAACTCCATACAGAGGTCAGAATGTGAGAGTATGAGAATGCCTTGTAGGAATTTGTATTTCAGGGTTCTATAGACATTAAAAATATTTAATAATTCCACACACTTCATTTTTCAAAGGTCTACTATAAGATGTAGAAAAGTGTCAAACAGTTGACTTGTTTTACATGATTGTGGAGGCATGCATGTCTGACAGACATTATCTAGTGCTGACCAGGGATCTTACTTGAACAAAGACTTATGATGTTGTAATCCGTTCAAATAAAGAGTAGTTTTATAAAGCTTTAATGCGTGATATTTGACTCTGAACTCTAGAGTATGATGTAAATATTTTTGCTGAAATCTACTTCAAGGACAAGTATTACACTTTATTATTGCCTTGACTTGAGAACTTTTCAACGTGAACTGGATGTCTATTGCAACGGAGTTGTGCAGTACCTTGATCAACAGGTGAGATGTATATAACTTTCCTATAATTCCATTGTAACAATATTTATAAGAAACATTTATCACATAGATAGTCTCTTAAATATTTAATATATTGCTAATAATACAACTCATATTATATTCTAGATGCATAGGAAATGCACCAGCCTTGTTTCATTAAGAACAAATATTTTGCCAGATTAGTACCTGCTGCTAATAAGTATCACTATATTTTGGGACCTGATGAAATGCTGAGATCTACATCACAATTTTCATTATACATGTATCTTTTTTAGATTCATAGTTTTAAGAGGTTACCGATATATCTATCACCAATTTTTAACTGCGTGGCTGTGTAGAACCATTTTTGTGATGATGGGTTACCAAAAAATAAAAAAATAAACGCTTGTTATTTTCATAAATAAATGTGAAACTATAACATTAATTACTGTTTATTAAATGCAGTCAAGACTGAACTTAGTTGACAATGTTATTCCTGGCTGACCTATTTTGACAGTGTTATACCTTGCTGATATGATTTGACAGTTTAATACCTGGCTGACCTGATTTGACAGTATACTCCCTGGCTGATATGATTTGACAGTGTAATACCTGGCTGATATGATTTGACAGTGTGCTACCTGGCTGACTTGATTTGACAGTGTAATATCTAGCTGATAAGATTTGACAGTGTGATACCTGGCTGACTTGATTTGACAGTGTAATACCTGGCTGATATGATTTGACAGTGTAATACCTGGCTGACCTGATTTGACAGTGTAATACCTGGCTGACTTGATTTGACAGTGTAATACCTGGCTGACCTGATTTGACAGTATAATCCCTGGCTGACCTGATTTGACAGTGTGATACCTGGCTGAAATGATTTGACAGTATAATCCCTGGCTGACCTGATTTGACAGTATAATCCCTGGCAGATATGATTTGACAGTATAATCCCTGGCTGATATGATTTGACAGTGTAATCCCTGGCTGATATGATTTGACAGTATAATACCTGGCTGACCTGATTTGACAGTGTAATCCCTGGCTGATATGATTTGACAGTGTGCTACCTGGCTGATATGATTTGACAGTGTAATCCCTGGCTGATATGATTTGACAGTATAATACCTGGCTGACCTGATTTGACAGTATAATCCCTGGCTGATATGATTTGACAGTGTGCTACCTGGCTGATATGATTTGACAGTGTAATCCCTGGCTGATATGATTTGACAGTATAATACCTGGCTGACCTGATTTGACAGTATAATCCCTGGCTGATATGATTTGACAGTGTGCTACCTGGCTGATATGATTTGACAGTGTAATCCCTGGCTGATATGATTTGTTTTGAGGAAGTTCTGAAAATGTTGTCATTTGTAACATCAATTACAAAATCAAGATACTTCATGATGTCACATAACATCAATCAAAACCAAAGATGAATGACTTTTAGTTTGGCAATCACAATATTGAAAAAGTGTATAACAAGTTCTCCTTTGTAGTTTGATAGTCACATACAATTAGAAGTTGGAGCAATTTGGGGTTATGAGTATAAGCTGTCTTCAGAGTTATTTACTTACAGAATCTTTAGTATGCTTGAAACACACACAGCAGTATAATAATCACAGACATATTTGCATTTATTTAAAACTTCCAACCTCTGTAGAATGTATACGATACTGTACTATTTTATCTGTTTATAACCTTTAGTTTACATAGTTTTTAATATAACACATTTAACAGTTATATTATAATTACCCTGTAAGTCTTTTTCTGCTTGTGAATCTATATTGATTTAATGCTTGGCTTTTCTTACAACACTTGGCTTTCCTACTTTAACCAAGGTTTGCTGTGATCCTAGCATGCAAGAAGAACAGGATACACAGGATAAATCTAAGGTAACAGAGGTATTTATGTTTATATAACATCAGTTCAGAAGTACAATAACACAGAATGTTCTGTATGAAGATAATATAAATGCTGGCTCCTTTAGAGGCCTGAATATTAAAGGATATGTTTATGCTTAATTTCTTTCACAGTTACACAGAACTAAAAGAATGATTTTGTTTTTGTCAACAAGAAATTATAACAAAAAATGAAAATGATAGTTTCTAAAAGACAAATTATATCTGAGTGAATTATATATTTGCATATTTGCTCAAACAAGTTACAATGTTAATTCTGTTTCAAAATTAATGGAATCCAGTTTGTTTTCTGAATCATTGTTGATGAATATGTATGTGCCATGGCATTAATTGTATTGGCTGGTAGTTCATTGGAAAAGCAAATACTTCCATGGTCAGTTGTTAAACACATGCACAGCTGAGCAATAATTTGTTTTTTCCAACCTCCATTTAACTCTTTTTTTCTTTCTTAAAATGTAGAACTTTTTTTCTGTAGCTTACAAACATTGACACTTCGGTGCGAACTTACCTGGAGAATTGGTGTGAGGTGACCATGGATTACACCTGTCGATGTATGAAAATACTCAAGCAAAGTGCCAAATACATTCTGTATGGGGTAAGAGTCCATTAAATTACATCATAACATGACATTGCTGCTGCACTATTAACTTTGTTAATACCACATCTGATAATTTCTGTTCTTCCTTAAAAGTCTTCGTTTGGTCCCACTATATTTTAATTTTGTATTGGACATCAATACATGCACTAGAAATATGGATATCAGCAATATGAAATTTATACAAAAAAAATCTTGGTCCAAGCACATTTACCTGTTGCTATATGAATTTCTCTTTCTATATTATGAATACTTTTCTAATAAGAAATATATCTAACTGGTTAAGGTGCAAATAACTGTTGACATTTGCTCATATCTAGATAATTTAGGTGTAAAACATTATTCCTGACCATTGCAAAGCCTTGATTATATTTATTTTTGTTCACAGGTATGGAATTTTGTATGATTTGTATACCTAATTCTCATGGGCTAACGTTTTATCTAATTTGGGCAATATTATGATAACCACAAATGAAGTTAATTTGATCTGAATTTTGATTTCCAGGCATTAGTGGATGCCAGGTTTCAGTTTGAAGGCATGACAGACCAGCAGAAGGACGACTTACAGAGGTACTGTCTGATAGGTTCTGTACTTAACAGATACTGGTAATGTTAACTACGATGGTTTAACATGCTGCTGCTAAAATTTAGTCGATTTGCTAAAACCTTGTATTTTAATTTGTTCGATAGGTAAAATTTTACTATAATTGGCAGCATGTTGTTGGGCTGTTCCTGATATCTGTGACTGTACACATAGCTCCAGATTTGCATTTATATGTAGTTTTTTGTTTCGTTGGACCAGGTAAGGAGTTGTTGAATTTATGTCAAACAGTCTTACACTTCTGAGTCTAATGACAAGGTAAATAGTATTCAACCCATTGTTACACATACAACAGAACAATGTAGGATTGTTTTGAAGTAGAAAGATCACTTTTACATTAATCTCATCTATTTGAAATAAATTTCCTCACTGATATACATCAAGGTTCAGCGCTTGTCAGCCTCACAAAACAGTTTTCATGAAATGTGCCTTTTAATATTTTAATACATGTTTCTGTATATTAAAATATTTTGATTTTCATAAAAACATCTGTCCATCCATTTCAATATAAAGTTTGAAATTCCATTAGGAATTAAACAGTGAAAAAAGTCTGTATGACATCTGGGAAATAAACTTTAGTATAACTGCATCCAAAATGTCCTAATCTACAGTAATTGTCACTGAATTTTACCTTATAATGTTTTGTAATGTTGGTGCTGAAACAGATCATTTAACAATAACAGTTTTAATACTTTTTTAAATTTGCCATATTAAAGTTTACTGCTTGCATGTATCTCCTGTTTCATATAACAAAGAGAAAAATGAAAATGATTTGACTTTGTGAAAAGTTCCTTTCATTCTTGCTAAAACTTGATTTAAGGTAGTAATGAAAATGAAGGTATACAATCACATAAGTACTGGTATGTTATACGTTACCATGCTGTGTTTTCTTTTAAGGTTTCTGAAGGCATGTAATCTGTCAGAGATCTTAAAGCAAACAGACCAGGAGAAGCGTGAGGCCAGTCCAGCATCAACGGGAAGTCTTGACTTACTGGTTGATTTGGGAGAGTACAATGCTGCACCCCAGCAAACAATTACCCTAACACTGGCACAGAACATGGTGAATTGTTCACCAGAAGGTATGTATCACATAATACATTCATGTCTCAAAGGCTGACAACAAGGGAGGGACATTTGTATAGTCACTCTCATACAGAACATGGTGAATTGTTCACCAGAAGGTATGTATCATATAATACATTCATGTCTCAAAGGCTGACAACGAGGGAGGGACATTTGTATAGTCACTCTCATACAGAACATGGTGAATTGTTCACCAGAAGGTATGTATCATATAATACATTCATGTCTCAAAGGCTGACAACAATGGAGGGACATTTGTACAGTCACTCTTCTCCACTCTCGCACAGAACATGGTGAATTGTTCAACCAGAAGGTATGTATCACATAATACATTCATTTCTCAAAGGCTGGCAACAAGGGGGGGGGGACATTTGTATAGTCACACTTCTCTACTCTCACACAGAACATGGTGAATTGTTCAACCAGAAGGTATGTATCACCTAATACATTCATGTCTCAAAGGCTGACAACAAGGGAGGGACATTTGTATAGTCACTCGTCTCCACTCTCACACAGAACATGGTGAATTGTTCACCAGATGGTATGTATCACATAATACATTCATGTCTCAAAGACTAACAACAAGGGAGGGACATTTGTATAGTCACTCGTCTCCGCTCTCACGCATATCAGGGTGAATTGTTCAACCAGAAGCTTCATGTCATTTAGTACATATATGTTCAAAAGGCTGATAACTATGGGAGTACAGGATATCTGCACTTTAAACCTGTCCCCACACTCGTACATATGTCCTTATACTACAGACATTCTCAGCAATGATCCAGAATCTACTCCCATGTTACTGGTGTACATATCTTCTGTCATTGGGTGTACAAACACATCACATTTGGTCACTTTCAAAGGAACAGCGAAATATAAACATATTGGATTGTCTACATCATTCTCTACTCGGGTAAAAACGCTTTTCATTTTATTTGAAAAAATAGAATACATGTATTCAGAGTATGTTTGTGTATTTTAGTGAAATATATAAAATGAAAGTGAGGAAATGATGGGAAAAAGGATATGGTCTCAGACTGCCTTTATGTATTGCTCTATAACACATGTATGTGTTGATTATTTTTATTACCTAGTGATCTAAAAATACCAAATGTCATGTTTTGTTTCTCATAGAGATGAAAATAATCTACTATACTATATACTTTTAATGTTGAGAGATAATGTTACATTAGCGCATCTATTATTTAAATGTTGTTTCCCTTGAACATACATGCATTTGTTTTTGTAGATTGCACAATCTTCTGTGAGGATTGGGGTAAAGTTTTAAACAAAACTGACCTAAATAGAGCGAGTCAAATCAGACATGTTTTGGAGGCATTTAAGATAAAGGTATGTGGAAAGGGTATAACCATTATTATGGTATTCATTTGGAAACTGTTAAATATCCTTTCAATATTTCACTGGTAAAAATGTAATAAATAGAGGACATCTAACTGTGTCTCCAGTAATACCAAAAATATTTGGTGTGCACTCTTGAAAGATATCAAAATATTAGCCACACTCGTGAAATATATTTGGTTTTACTGAAGACACTGTTAGATGTCCTCTCTATTTCAGAATAGTTCTTGAAAAACACAGTTAGGTACACATTTGTTTCCTCTCTATTGATCTTCGTCCTGTCACTGATGGATAATCTACAAGCTGTAGTCAACTGTTTTTTTTATTTATTATCAAAAAGGTTTGATTTCCCTATGGTTTTGTCATATGTATTTTGGTCAAACGTTTCTCTGTTCTTTTTTCAACTTTGTTGATTTATTATCTGTTGTAAATGACAAGATTGCAATGTTGCAAGATCAGGCCCATACATGCATTGGAGTTATCCTTCCTTGTGCTACAAATGTGTTTATGTTTTAAATATTTTTCAGTACATCCAAAGTATAAATACTCTAAAGAGACTTCTTATTCAGGCTGAAGCAGATTACTATGCATTATACAAGTAAGTAAATGACAATTATAGAAATTAATAATGATTGAACAGCTATTATGTCTCATAAGACAGATATTTACTGTACATTATACATGTGAGTTAATATTTAGTGTACACTATACATACATGCAAGTTAATATTTACTGTACATTATTCGTTTGAGTTAATATATACTGGACATTATACATGCGAGTTGATATTTACTGTACATTATACATGTGAGTTAATATCTACTGTACATTATACATGCGAGTTAATATTTACTGAACATTATACATGCGAGTTAATATTTACTGTACATTATTCATGTTAGTTAATATTTACTGGACATTATACATGCGAGTTAATATTTACTGTACATTATACATGCGAGTTAATATTTACTGAACATTATACATGCGAGTTAATATTTACTGTACATTATTCATGCGAGTTAATATATACTGGACATTATACATGCGAGTTGATATTTACTGTACATTATACATGTGAGTTAATATTTACTGTACTTTTATACATGTGAGTTAATATTTACTGTACATTATACATGCGAGTTAATATTTACTGGACATTATACATGCGAGTTAATATTTACTGTACATTATTCATGCGAGTTAATATATACTGGACATTATACATGCGAGTTAATATTTACTGTACATTATACATGTGAGTTAATATCTACTGTACATTATACATGCGAGTTAATATTTACTGTATGTTATATATACATGTGAGTTAATATTTACTGTACATTATACATGTGAGTGTACATTATACATGGGAGTTAATATTTACTGTACTTTTATTATACATGTGAGTTAATATTTACTGTACATTATACATGTGAGTTAATATTTAGGGTACACTATACATACATGTGAGTTAATATTTACTGTACATTTAATATATAATATTAATGCGAGTTAATATTGACTGTACATTATACATGTGAGTTGATATTTACTGTACATTATACATGTGAGTTAATATTTACTGTACATTATACATGTGAGTTAATATTTACTGTATGTTATATATACATGCGAGTTAATATTTACTGTACATTATACATGTGAGTTAATATTGACTGTACATTATACATGTGAGTTAATATTTATTGTACTTTTATACATGTGAGTTAATATTTACTGTACATTATACATGTGGGTTAATATTTACTGTACATTATACATGTGAGTTAATATTTACTGTACATTTTACATGTGAGTTTATATTTACTGTACGTTATATAAACATGTGAGTTAATATTTACTGTATGTTATGTAAACATGTGAGTTAATATTTACTGTATGTTATATAAACATGAGAGTTAATATTTACTGTATGTTATATATACATGCGAGTTAATATTTACTGTACGTTATATATACATGCGAGTTAATATTTACTGTACGTTATATATACATGCGAGTTAACATTTACTGTATGTTATATAAACATGTGCGTTAATGATTATTTATTATTGTTTGTTTACATGATAGAAGTGAGTTATCGTTTGTTTACATGATAGAAGTGAGTTATTGTTTGTTTACATGAGTCAAAAATTGTCCATGTTAAACAAGTGGGTTAAACTTTACTATACGTTAGGCAAGAGTGTTCATGTTTACCACATTCTGTGGAAAAGAAATTGTATAAGACAAATGTTTGTGACAGATATACTTAAACTAAGCATCATGCTTAGTACTCGTATTATAGGGAATTCAAAATCATTAGAAATGTAGACAATTTACAATGATTTATTCAATTGAATTGTGATATGAAAAAAAGTGATATGAAAAAATGGACTCATGATTTATCCTTTCATGAATATGAATTATTCACGATATACCATTTTATGTATTTCAGATCCTACGTGTTTATAAAGAATTCTGGGAATGCAGAAGTACTTCTAAATTATGGCCATTTAGACTCGATACCTGAGGTACAAGACGTTGTCAAGTCCCTGAAGGAGTTCATCAAAGAAATCAAGCAGACCCCGGGATGAAATCTAATTTCATGTGCAATCAATACTGGCAAATATTTATTTTTAAAGGGGCATCTTGATTTCTTTACCAATATTTAAGAATGTATTAAATAGAAAAAAGGGATGTTTTTATGCATGTTTGCTGTTACAGAACAGCTGAACAATTAGGGATATAATTCCGAAGAAGGTTTTATAGATTAATTTTGTACTGACCAATCAAGACAAACCTGCCTTCTGCTTAGACCACCTCAACATTTATTTAGAATAGTAGTTATATATTGTACTCTATGTCAGGAAGCATAGTACCCACTGAGAGGATTGTCTCTTGCATTACACCCTCCTCCGCAGAAAACAGAACTTGTTTGATTTTAATGAGTTCAAATGATTTTTTTGCAGTGTTAAATTAGAAACACAATGTTTATAATAGGAATCACCACTACATCAGAATTAAGTCTGGGACTATTATCTTGTCCTATGAATCTTAAGGAGCCTGGCCCTTTCACATATCTAGCTCACTAGTAAACTAGTCCAGAGTTAAACTCCCAGTAGAACCACTTTCAAAGAGTTTCATCTGTTACATTAATTAAATATATTTGAATTTGACAGATTCAGTTATATATTTACACCACAGTATGGGAACATCTTGATAAGATTAAGGGGGCATCAGTCAAGGTTAAAGGACACACCTTACCCCTTTTGGTGTATTATATACAAGCCCTGGCTCACTTTGTTTTTACTTAACCATTTCTGTGTTGCTAATTTTTTTTTATAAAGAAGGAGAGGCAATATGCCAGAAACGTTTATGACCATGTTTTTTTTAAATACGATTTATCAGGGAATCAGAAGCTCTATACAAGCTTGAAAAGTTCATATAAGAGTAAGCATTGATATTACATATAAATGAACAATGTTGTTATATAATTGTTAATCATATTTTGTGGTCATTTTACAGACTTATTGAAGGTTGAAATTGCATGTTCTAAAATTTCACTTTAAAACACAAGTGTATTGTGAAATTTTGGTATTGTGACCTTATGTCGACCTGCTGATGTTGATCTAATGCAGAAACACGCCCCTTTATACGTCCAGGTTAGTTGTACTGATATCACAGTGTATCAGTGTCCTCTACCTCTATAACTAGATCGTATTGCACAATATGGGGAAACATTACGGTATTCTCACTGTATACACTGTATTTAACCTGATACGTTAGGTTGTATAAAGCTATTCAGACTTAACAATTAAACATTAAGTTGGAGTTTTATAATCAGAAAAAATACCATCTCAGTCTACAGTCTCAGTAGTAACATGTAGTCATACCCACTGTCATTCATCAACTTAATAATAGGCTTCTTCAAATTAGCCAGTTCAAGTAAAAATAATTAATAAATGGCATATGTGAGAATGTAGGTGTGATTTTAAATCCCAAGACAAGCAAGTGTGGATTTCAGTTTGAATAGTAATGAAAATAACACATATTCAAATTTTAACTTCATTTGTCATCAAGCTATTGCAGTCCAGGACCAAAATACTTACATCCAACCATGTCTGTTTTTGAATGTGAGTCCGAATTTGATGTTTGAACAGGCGAGGTTCCACAGGAATTGAATGTATCATTATTACCATACTGTCCTACTGTTAATTTTCTATAATGTGCAGTTTTTTGATAGCAGTCCTGGGTGGTAGTAATCTAGTAACATGTAGTCATACCCACTGTCACAGGACCTGGCGAGGATGTACTTTACATGTAACAAGTAATTTTGTATAAAATTTGTGATTGTCATTTAGGATTTAAAAAGAAAGAAGTGACAAATGATAATGTACATGATCTTTTTGCTGGTAATTCTACTATGTGTTGCGTTATATAAAAAAAACTAGAATTTTTATAAAGGAAATCATGATGACAAGGTTGTTGAAATAAAGTTATTATTAAAGTTCAATTGTTTTCGTGTAGATAATTAAAAGGCATTAAATTAATATAGACATTGTTATTTAATGGTAATTTTGATCAGATATCTGATGAAGCAATTTCTTAAGAATAACCAAGAGGCGTAGTGTGTTGATATTTGGCCAGTTACATGCTGGGATGAAGGGCCACCAAGTTTGTTAAAATGAATGACCTTTGCCGATTTTCAAGGTCACAGGGGTCAAATATGTATGTTTTTAAACTTTAAACAACTTCTTTTGAAAAACCAAGAGGCCTAAGGGGTTGATATTTGGCGAGTAGCATGCTGGTATGAAGGGCTACCAAGTTTGTTCAAATAATGACCTTCACCCATTTTCAAGGTCACTGGGGTCACATATGTTAAAATCTTATAACAACTTCTTCTGAAAACCAGAAGGCCTAGGATGTTGATATTTGGCCAGTAACATGCTGGGATAAAGGGCTTCCAAGTTTGTTCAAATGACCTGGACTCATATTCAAGGTCACAGGGATCAATTTTCTTAAAAAAACATTCAAACAACTTCTTCTGTTAACCAGAAGGTGCATGTTGATGGCCAGTATTACAGAGGTCAAATGGTTCCTCTGAATAAGCGTTGACTGGTGTTATTTTGCCAGTAGCATGCTTCAGATAAAGAGCTATCAAGTTTTGTTGTGTGAGAGTAATACCAGATGAGTGATGCAGGTCCATTGGGCGTTTTGTTATACATCAAGAAACATAGCAGTTTTTATTTTTGACTTAACATTCCTTATCCTATTCATAGTCACAATCATTATCTCATGATCAGCCTCAAAAAGGTTAACATTCTCAGGAGAGATGTTATACTTGGTGGGTTTCTAACTGTGTCATCAGTTCAGAACCCAATGGACTGAAAACCTTTTTATTGCTAGATCTGTGACAATGGACTCTTTCCTGGGACATTTCGAAAGTGTTGGCTATATGTCCTCTTTCATTCTCGCAACTATTTCTGAAGTTGTTCCTGGACGGGGATCGTCTTCAAGGAGCTCCCTGTCATACTTCAATTCTCAGTAGCATATCACCATTCATATCACCATGGATAGCCTGATCATTGACCCCATTCCTACATGTATTCGTTCTTAGCTCTATCACAGAGTGGGTCCATTTTTGCAAAAAAAAGAAATCAAACCATTGAAGTGTTAACACCAGGAAGCATGTTGACAAAATGAGACGGGCTGTCGGATTCATGCTTATATAATCCATTATTACATATAACAATGCCTGAAAGAAAACACCTTTACTTAACTCCGTCAATGGGAGTTCCGGAACTTTTCATGATCCCCTTTGTATATCGGTATTTCAATGTGTATCAATATATTTTGTTCACAGTAGTTAATGCTGCACAATTGCTCCTTATAATTATTTGGAAAAATATGATCAATTAAGCTTTTATAACAAGTATTATTTGATTGAATTCTTGAATCATAAATCAATTCTACGGCGCATTTGATTCAAACAGGGAGAGAGTATATCTACAAATATATCTGTTTATGTTTTTAACACGCCTTATCAGGGAGTATCTGAAAGCTTTTAACACCAGTTGTATGGCAACCATTGATCCAGACATGTTATTCAAAGATGTTTTTAATAAAGGTGAAAAAAGATGGACTTTGAATCATCAACAGGCATATTTTACCAAATCTGATGGACATATCAATATCAAACGACATTCTTAGTCAATGTTTACATTTCAGAATATTCTGGTTTTATTTGATCGTGTAAATATTTACTTAGGATCGCATGGAGAATGAACAAGGGGGAATTGGACTGGTTATCAGCTTGCTTGACATAGCGCTGTAATGTTTTAAGGTTTTTGGGACCTCTCCAACTGATTTTACTTTGTCTTTATTTAACAAATGAGGGATCGATAATATATGATTTCACAAATGGTAAAAGTAATCTATACCCTTCCTAGAGATCAGACTTACTTCGACGCTTGAAGTTGAACGACGGGACTGGTAGCATCTCACTACGGGACTGGTAACCCTTCACGACGGGACTGGTAACCCCTCACGACGGGACTGGTAACCCTTACGACGAAACTGGTAACCCCTCACTACGGGACTGGTAAACCCTCACGACGGGACCGGTAGCATCTCACGACGGGACTGGTAGCATCTCACATCGGGACTGGTAACCCCTCACGACGGGACTGGTGACACTTCACGGCGGAACTAGTAACTCTTCACGACGGGACCGGTGTGACTTCATCACGGGTCTGGTAACTCCCTATGAGGAACTGGTAACTCCTCTCGACGTGACTTGCGTGACTTCATATTGGGACCGGTTACTCCTCACGACGGAACTAGTTAATCTTCACGACGGGACTGGTAACTCCTCGTGACGGAACTGGTAACTCTTCACGACGGAACTGGTAACTCCTCACGACGGAACTGGTAACTCTTCACGACGGGACCGGTGTGACTTCACAACGGGTCTGGTAACTCCTCTTGACGTGGCTTGCGTGACTTCACATTGGGACCGGTTACTCCTCACGACGGAACTGGTTACTATTCACGATGGGACTGGTAACCCCTCACGACGGAACTGGTAACTCCTTACGACGGGACTGGTAACTCCACACGACGGAACTAGTAACTCCTCACGACAGGACTGGTAACACCTCACGATGGAACAAGTAACTCCTCACGACGGGACTGGTAACCACTCACGACGGGACTGGTAACTACTCACGACGGGACTGGTAACCTCTCGTGACGGAACTGGTAACTCTTCACGACGGAACTGGTAGTTTACTCACGACGGGACTGGTGTGACTATACAACGGGTCTGGTAACTCCTCACGACGGAACTGGTAAATCCTCAAGACGGGACCGGTAGCTCCTCGTGACGGAACTGGTAACTCTTCACGATGGAACTGGTAAATCTTCACGACGGGACTGGTGTGACTTCACAACGGGACTGGCAACCCCTAACGACGGGACTGGTAACTCCTCACGTTGTAAATAGGTATAATTTAAATCGAGAATTCTTGAAAGCCATGGACTATTTTCCTTTGTTGAATTAGGAACAAGATTAAACATATATTTATTGCAACCTAATAGTGGTTTATCTAGAGAAACGACCTTTACGGTTTTCTTCCGCCGTCTGCAGTTCCTTTATAGCGGATTTGATGTACCCGTTCTAATATGGGGAAAGGAGAACTTGTATAGTTTAGGTGCTATATTCCGATCTTATTGGCAAAACTTCCATCTTATGTGTACAGTGGAGAGTGGAGTTCTGTACAACAGTGGTTTTCAGTAGGGAGTGGATATCTTCCCTTTTGAAACAAAATCAATTTTTCCTCCCGCAGAAAAAGGTAGCCATCCAACCTCAGATACCAATATAACCGTGGCTATCATACTCCTCCTCAATATCGGAATTGCATTATATTTCAGCAAAAAGTAGTCAAACTAATGTAAAAGTCAATATACGAATCGGTCACGTACGGAAATAGATGCTGAACATACAGTTGATATGATAGTCTACACCGTCATAGTCCACTTTGTAAATAAAAACGTGTTCTAGGTTTCTTTAATGACATTCGTATCAGTCGTGTATATTTGTTTACAATACCATTGCCCAATATCGCTTATAAGAAGCTTCCAAAACGCAGACTAACACTATTACTGGCATCGGTACAGTACGGATGTAAAGTACCTCAGTTTTAATTCTCCCTTTGATGCGTAAGATTGAAACTTGATATAGCAGTGATGATCTTCATGTAAATATTGGACGAGCATTGCCCCGGGACTGTTCAACTTTACTGAACACGTGCGCACTTCGTCATCAGATAAGGTTTCTGCTATGGTATTGCCATCACGCAAGCACGTATATTTTATATATAAAAAAAAGCTAATTGATAATTAACAGGCAATCTTACAAGAGAAAACAAAACGAAGCCTGTTTATTTTATCTTGATTTGATCTTTTGATTATTTCTCTGAAATTGTCTAACGTACGAAAGTGAGTGGAATGTCGAAATAGTGACCCGAGCGGAGTAAGTCAAATAATAATAATAGAAAACCAGCCAGTATCGATGGATGGATGCAATAAATTTGATAGGTAGTCAATTAGTTACTGAGGCTTTTTGGTGTATCTCGGTGGGATATTGTATTATTGGCATGTCTAGTTGCAGTTAAGGTATGATTTGTTGTCGCATGGGTATGTTTTCTTGTAGCTTTTAGGTGGGTTCCATTTTAGCTGTTACTGTATAACACTGCAGCTTTCGGCGCCCTTTATTACAGTTATAGTGGCGTCTTCTTATTGTTGATATTGATATACTTAATTACATTTATTGGTATCTTACATTGTAGACATTTTGATGTCTTTCAATGCTGCAACCGTGATGTCTTTGACTAAAATATTTGTGTACCAATATCGTGCTATTTCTGTGTCGACGTGTTCCATTATTGTACCGTTGTTCTTCATTACCTTTGTCGATGTGTTCCACTTTTTTTGTCAATGTGTTCCATTATTGTGTCGACGTTTTCCGTTATTGTGTCGACGTGTTCCATTATTGTGTCGATGTATTCCATTATTGCGTCGCTGTGTACGATTATTGTGTCGACGTGTTCCATTATTGTGTCGATGTGTTCCATTATTGTGTCGATGTGTTCCGTTATTGTGTCGATGTGTTCCATTATTGTGTCGATGTGTTCGATGATTGTGTTGAGGTGTTCCGTTATTGTGTCGATGTGTTCCATTATTGTGTCGATGTGTTCCATTATTGTGTCGTTGTTCTTCATTACCTTTGTCGATGTGTTCCACTATTTTGTCGATGTGTTCCACTATTGTATCGACGTTTTCCGTTATTTTGTCAACGTGTTCCATCATTGTGTCGATGTGTTCCATTATTGTGTCGCTGTGTTCCATTATTGTGTCGACGTGTTCCATAATTGTGTCTATGTGTTCCATTATTGTGTCGATGTGTTCCGTTATTGTGTCGACGTGTTCCATTGTAGTATCGATGTGTTCCGTTATTTTGTCAACGTGTTCCAT